ACTTTCAATTCAAGCAACAACACCCAAATCACACTCTGTTGCCTGACCCAGGGGTGGGCAAACTTTTTGACTCGAGGGCCACAATGGCTTCTTAAACTGGACCGGAGGGCCGGAACAAAAGCATGGATGGAGTGTTTGTGTGAACTAATATAAATTCAAAGTAAACATCATTACATAAAAGGGTAAGATCTTTTTTTTTTTTTTTTCAGTTTTATTCATTTCAAACGGGCCGGATCCGGCCCGCGGGCTGTAGTTTGCCCACGGCTGGCCTGACCCCATCTCTTCCCCAGCTTTGCTCTTCCACCTGGAGAAATGGACCCAGTTCCCCCTTCCCCCTCTAGTTCCCACTCTCGTTTTATTTAATTTCACCTCAGATCCCTTTCTCCTCCCCTGCTCTCTCCCGCCTTGCTCAGCTGCCACAAGAAACTCCACCCTCATTTCACAACACACTTTCCCTGGGGCTGGTTTTCTTCTCTCTCCTCCCTCCTCTCCCCCTCTTGGCTCCCTCTGTGGGGCTACTCCTGTTTATCTCACACAAGAGCCCTCTTAGTAATACACCTATATTAAGGACAAGAAAATCTGTGTTTGAAAACGCTCCTACTTTTTTTTCATCTCGATGGCTATTTATTGCATAAATTGCATTATAGCAACAATAAAGGAGTGTTTATAAAGTGTAAGTGACACTCCTAATCCTGCTTAATCTAACACATCACCTGTTTGAGTTTCCCCAAGTCTCTTTCCTGGCTAGTCCACGCTGAGGCATATGACAGTGGCGGAGTGCAAGCAGTTTTATTTTCTGCACACAGTTAAGTTGTGAAGTTAAGGGTATAAGGGATTCCAGTCCTCAGCTTCTACAGCTCTTTAAAGGTGCCGAAAAGACATGTCCACGGAGTCCATACCAGAGTTTATCTACTTCCTTGTCCTTCTGTCCTTCGATTAAGTTTCCCTCAAGAACCAGAAAATATTAAAATAAATAACTACTGCCCTTGCCGGTAGCTGAAGGGTTAGAGCGTCGGCCCTCGCTGAAGGGTTCCTGGTCAAGAGCATGCACTTGGGTTGCTGGTTCCATCCCTGGCCCTAGTCGGGGTGCATGTGGGAGGCAACCAATTGATGTGTCTCCCTCACATTGATGTTTCTCTCTCTCTCTCTCCCCCCTCTCCCTTCTTCCCTCCCTTCCACTCCCTCTAAAACATCAATGGAAAAAAATATCCTCGGGTGAGGATTAACGAAAAAACATTTTAATGGACTATGGACTGGAAAAGTCTGACATGTTCTGGATTAAAAGAGAGCACAGGTTGTGCCTTGTGGACTTTGAAATAAGTACCCGTGGGCACACCCATCAACAGTCTGTGTTCCAAATGTTTATTCATGAGTTGCTTATTTAGAACTTGGAATATATTTTTAACCCACAGACATAAATGTTGTCAATGGTGGCTAGCCTCCTAGCTAGTTTACGAAGTCCTAGGTCAGTGGTGGCGAACCTTTTGAGCTCGGCGTGTCAGCATTTTGAAAAACCCTAACTTAACTCTGGTGCTGTGTCACATATAGAAATTTTTTGATATTTGCAACCATAGTAAAACAAAGACTTATATTTTTGATATTTATTTTATATATTTAAATGCCATTTAACAAGGAAAAATCAACCAAAAAAATGAGTTCGCCTGTCACCTCTGACATGCATGTCATAGGTTCGCCACCTAGTTTAACCATAAAAATATGAAGACATCTAAAATGCACACTATAGAACACAGCATTGTCACCTACTACAAAAGGGATAGTGGTGACAATGAAACCAGTTAGGAGTTATTTTATTTTATTTTTTTGTTAATCCTCATCTGAGGATATATATATATATATATATGATTTCAGAGAGGAAGAGAGAGAAAGAAACATCAATGATGAAAGAGAATCATTGATAGGCTGCCTCCTGCACACCCCCCACTAGGGATCGAGCCCGCAACCTGGGCATGTGCCCTGACCAGGAATCAAACCATGACCTCCTGGTTCATAGGTCAACCATTGCACCACACTGGCTGGGCATGAGGATATTTTTCCATAGATTTTTAGAGTAAGTGGGAGGAGGAGGGAGGGGAGACACACACACACACACACACACACACACACACACACACACACATTGGTTGCCTGCTGCACACACCCCAATCAGGACAGGGGGATTGAACCTGCAACCCAGGTACGTGCCCTTGACTGGGAATCCAACCCCTGATCCTTTAGTTCTTGGGCTGACACTCTAAACCAGGGGTCCTCAAACTACGGCCCGCGGGCCACATGCAAATACAGATATTGTATTTGTTCCCGTTTTGTTTTTTTTATTTCAAAATAAGATATGTGCAGTGTGCATAGGAATTTGTTCATAGCTTTTTTTTTTTTTTAAACTATAGTCCGGCCCTCCAACGGTCTGAGGGACAGTGAACTGGCCCCCTGTTTAAAAAGTTTGAGGACCCCTGCAACATTTAGCAACACTGGCCAGAGCAGTCCATTAAGTGTTTTGTTTTGGTGACAGTCTTCCCTCTGCCCTCAAGATGCACGACAGACCCTCCGATGGTGAGAACAGGAGGGGCAGGACCCCGAGAAAGAGACCCTGGGGAAGGAGGAGGAGTGTCTCACTTGAGGCTCCAAGCTGCCAGCATGGCAGCTGTGGTTCCCAGGGCCCTGTGCCCAGAAAATCCAAAATAGACGCTCGGAGCTGTGCAGTGCACACACGGGGTTAGCAAGTATCCAGCACAGAGGTCTATAAGCCACGGCTCCTGCTTCCGGGGGACTGCAAAGCCAATATATATGAAACAAAACAAAAAACTAATGAGACGTGATAATCAACAATGAATGATGGAGCAGAGAGAGATTATCTTGGGCAGGGTGGTGAGAGGAAGCTTCACGGAGCGGGTGGATAGGAACTTAAGCCAGGCCTTGGAGGATGCTGGGTAATCAGAGGGAGCCAAGGTGTGGGGTGAGATGCCCTGGGCATGCCTGGGGCCCACCTGGCCCTGATACCCCGGAGTGCTTGTTAAGATTCAGCACCCACACAGATGTCTTGAATTAAAATCTCCGGGAGAGCGGCCCAGAAATCTGCTGTTTACAAGTTTCCTGGTGACTCCAGCCAGTGATTGAGAGGAGCAGGCAGGAGCCAGTGAGGGCCCATGGAAGGGGATGGAAGCCCAGCTTCTGGCTCACGCTGCCCACTGGTTGTGCTCTGGACCGGCGGTTGCCAACCTTTCAGACCTCACGGACCACCAGTAGTCTGTGGACCACCTGTAGTCTGTGGACCACCTGTAGGCGACTGCTGCTCTGGACTATGAATCGCTTACCCCTGTGGGCCTCACTTTCTCTGGCTGGGGTATGAAGTAGAAAAGCAGAATGGGTTTCATATGGGTGGTGGCATAGTGATCATCCATATGAGTTAAGTGTTTGTCTTACCTTTACTTAATTCCCACAACCGATCTGTTCCCATCCATGAGGCCTGTTTTATGCATGAGGCAATGGAAGCTCAGAGAGGTTAAGCGACCTTGCCAAAGTCACATAGCCAGTGAGTGATGGATCCGGGATTCCAGTGCAGATGTGTGAGACAGGAGAGCTGTGGTGGTGGACACAGGAACCATTAGTCTGGGTTAGTCTGTTCGTGTTCACTGGAGGAGGGCCATGCATGCCTATCTAAGCCAAATCCATTTCTTTTCATCAAAGACAAAATGAACGATCCATTGTACTTTTGGCCCCTGGAGTGGTCACAACCCCACCGCCAATGGCTGATCCTCTAGATTTTACTCTCTGCGAGGAGAGGAGCTCGAAGCTCTCTTCTTCCAGGCAGAGAAAGTTCTGGGCCGAGACCCTTCTCCTTTCTCATAGTAACTGGCCCAGATGGCCCCGGGGATTTTAATTCCTCTCCAAAAATTTAAACTATCGAATCTCAAGGAATTATTTGGATAAGGAGATGGCTATGACTATGGAATTCATTTCTACCCCTTACACCCAAATAACAAGCAGATCTTCTCTCCTCTCTCCACACATATCAAGAAGTCTCTTCATTTATGTTTGGAAAGGCAAGCCAGGAGTCCCTGTGGCTCACACCTCAGAGAACTCAGATCAGGATCAGATATTCACATTTTATTTTGTTTCAGCATAATCCATCAGTACTCATAAGAATAGCATTTGCTTTATTGAAGCTACTGTAGAATTATAGCTATTATTTGATTCTTTCAGGTTGAAAAGTTTAAGTTCAGAGGTTTTGATTTTGGTCTTGTCTTTTTTAAAATATATATATATATTATTGATTTTTACAGAGAGGAGGGGAGAGGGATAGAAACATCGATCAGCTGCCTCTTGCACGCCCCCTACTGGGGATGTGCCCGCAACCAAGGTACATGCCCTTGACTGGAATCGAACCTGGGACCCTTGAGTCCTCAGGCCGACGCTCTATCCACTGAGCCAAACCGGTTAGGGCTTTGGTCTTGTCTTTACAATGAAAAGTTAAATAAAGCAGCAGATGTCGATCAAAAAAGAAAAACGTCCCTTCAACAAATTCTAGCCCCCTTCTTACCCTGTGGAGCTTGTGAGCCAGAATCAACTTAAATTCAGGGTCCTGCCCTGGCCGGGTGGCTTGCTCAGTTGGTTGGAGCCTCGGCCAGTGCACTGAAGGGTCACGGGATCGGTTCCTGGTTAGGGCACATACCCAGGTTTTGGGTTCGATCCCTGGTCGGTGCACGTACAGGAGGCAACTGATTGATGTCTCTCTCTCTCCCCCCGCCTCTTCTTTCTCTAAAATCAGTAAACATATCCTTGAATGAGGATTTAAAAAAATGTAGGGCCCTGTGACAGAAGCTGTGCAATAGCAACAAAAGGAAGACTTGTAAAATCTGAGGGCAGTTGGAAGCCAGAAATGTGAGGTATTTGAACGTGCCGCATCAGGTCTACAGTGGGAGGTCCATTAGCGCTAAAAGCAGCACCAGCCTCTCCCTCCTCATCCTGTTCTTTTTCCCACCCGTCAGATTTTGGCTTTTACCGTGAGCACCATGAAGGCAGGACCGTGCCTGCCTCACCTCCAAGATTCCAGCACAGAGCAGCCACACCGCGCATCACTGACGAATTAGGGTTGATCTGTGGCAGAGGGCCAGGCTTGGTGTTTACCATGTTCGTTGGTGCCTGAGCTCCGTAATTCCTATCAACCTTGGTAGGTGTCTTCGGACCTTTAGACTCCCTCTGAACAGAGAATGCAAATTAAACACTTGGCTGGTATATGACCTGTACTTAACCTATCTCCATGGTACACCCATAATTCATGGTGGTTTTATTTTGCTTTTGAAATGGAAACTGAGAGTCCGGAGAAATGAACTCACTCTGACCTCGACACGTGAAGTCAAAGTCCAACATTTCTGTAGTGTTTCTGCTTAGAATGTTCTGATGTGCGTCCAACAGACATGTAGGAACAGGGGACAGGCATTTTCAAAGAGCCAGGAGGTTCCATGACTAATCACCGTGACTGTAACTACATGCTTGTTCAGATCCTGGTTCCCCTGGCTACGGATACAGGGTTTGTGGAAAGAAGAATGGAGATTTGATCACAAGTTTAAATAGAAACGATCCTTCTTACTAGGGAAGCGGGAGGGTGACTTAGCCCACTCCCTGGGCTTGAGAGGAAGGAGTGTGAGCAGGAAGTCAACTGTCAGCACCTCAGCTGCACCACAGCACTGCCCCGCGTGTGTGGAGACGTAGGGGACGAAGCTCCTGCAGATCAAGCTGTCATCCCACCAGGAAGCTGAGTTCCGTGACACCACCCGTGGTCTGTCCCTGCTCAGCCAGGGACAATGCATACATTCAAGGTGCAAAGGAAGGCTCCTGGGGCTTTTTGTGGCCGTGGAGAAACTCAAAGCTTGTCTGGAGGAGGTCACAGCTGTAATATTGACCTCCTTTGCAATCTCCCTACCTAGCAGAATAAAAATATCTTTTTAAAAAAGAAAGCTTTCAAGAGAGCATTCTTGGAAGCCAACCTTAAGCACTCTTACTTCTATATTCCTGGGCCAGCCAGCTTGCTCTCAATCCTTGTTATCTGCTGATCTCCGTAGAAAAAGCTGTAGGAAAAGGTGGCCAGGGCTCTGCAGAATCAGGCACGTGGGGAAGGAGTCGGGATGCAGCATCCTGCAGAAGAAGGGGGCTCAGGCCAGGCCATCTACTCCTGGCCGACCTGATGATTAATGGGGAGGGGATTCCTTCTCACTGGGAGAGGCCTAGCAGTGATTTGGAGAAGACATGTGTACCTCTACCAGTTTGGTGGCTTCAAGTGGCTGTAACTTATGTGTTTACACCGCAGATTCTATGACCAGGGGTGGGAGCACAAGAGGAGAACCCCAGAAAGCAGACCTGGGTGGACAGAGGCCAACCTCTGGGGAGAGACAGCCTGAGGCCATGAGTCGGCTGGGGGAGGCTCTTAATATGTTCCCTTACAAGTTGGGTCATTCAACCTGCTGATAATTTTTTTTAAGTGCTGGGGATATTTCAGGAAATAAGACCGTTGTAATGCTCAGAACAAAAATAGAAAATAGTGTCTATTCTTGTAGGAGCTGCTCATGACAGTTGCCAAGAAATCAAGATCAGATGCCTTGAGGGCTGAGCCCCTGAGGACCTAATGAACACACATTGCCCCCCAAAAAGTTCACCAACACACACATTTTCCAACTTCCCTGCAGAGTGCCCTGAGGGGGAAAGTCAATGAAATCTAGAACAAATCACTTGATGCCTGTGGCAGGAAGGCGACGAGTTACTAGTATGGCTGTACTACTCCCCTGGACTGTATCCTCAGAGATGGATGACGTTCCCCTTCCATTGACCCTGGTGGACATGCCGGAGACAGGTTGGGTGATGCTTTGCTTTTTGAGCTTCAATTTAAATGATAGGAAAGCTGTGGTACTGAAGATAGGAAGAAGAAAATTTTGAGTAAAATTGTGAAGGTAGAGAAAGAAAGATCAGGCAAGGGGGTGGCCGTAGTTGGGGGCAGGCTCTGTCACTGAGTGCCATCTGGCGGCACTTCGTAAGCTCTTTATCTCTGCCATCTGTTCTTCCAGGTCTTCAGTGTTTAATGTGGAAAGAGTGCTGTTGATATAGGCCAAAGAGGAGTGCCGAGGCCGTCTTCAAACAACACAGCCAGGGACTGCCAAGTTCAGGTTGAATTTAGCTATATATTTAAGAAAAGAAAATAAATATATTGACATATCATCGCTCTCTAAAAAAATGAATCTAAGGAGATCAGAGAACCAAGATGGCAGTGTAGGTAAATGCAGTTCTCTCTGCCTCCCACTAACTAGTGTAGTTTAAGATGTATGATGAGTGGATCCAAGATAGCAGTGGAGTAGGCCACGGAGGCCTCGCATGTGGAGTGAGGGGTCCCAGCCCCACACCAGCCCCCCAGCCCAGGGTTCCAGAGCTGGGTTCCAGTGTTGGTGAACTTTCGGGGGGCAATGTGTGAACTTTCGGGGGGAAGAACCCCTATAACTTTGGGCTATAAAAACCAGCAGGGATTGTGGCTGAATGATTTGGAGGCGGCTGGAGTCCCAGGCAGTTTCTCTTAAAGGGCCAGCTCACGAACTTACATGGTCCTGCTTCCTCTGAGTTCCAGCACTGGGACAGTGGCTTGGGGGGATCCAAGGACATACAGGAGGAGATGAACTGCCAGGAATGATGGCAATCTGCCAGAGACACAGGTGCCCTCTTAAAGGGTCAACACATAAAATATCATTCACAGCCACTCACCCTGAGCTCTAGTGGAGGGAGGGTGGAGCAGACTATAGTTGTGAGAAGCAACTGGGGCTGGTGGCTCTGGGGAGAGAGCTAAAGGGGCAACTGCCAGGATCCCTGTCCTGAGTCCTCTCCCACACCACAGACACCATTTTTCTTGGGTAGAGCACTCCCCTCCATATGGCATCAGCTTGGGGGAATGCAATATCCCCACCCTATGGACTCTCTGTAGCCCTACACTGCAGAGCTTGCACCCTCCTGAGGAGTCAGCTACCTGGGGCAGGTGTAGAGGTCTTGGCAGACTCAGGGGGTGTCAGTGACTGAGTTGTATGGCTTTGGGATAGGAGCCATTCCCCCCACTTTCTCATGAAACTGATTGGTGCCTCCCCGTCACAGGAGATCAAGTAGGCCCACTCTCCAGGCTCCCCAGGCCCACCCTCCCCGACTCCTGGTGGCCCCACCCTGCCCAACTCAAGCTCTTTAGGAGCTCTGGGAAGAATCTAGGACAAATTCAGTTGTATGGTTCTGGGGCAGGGGCCAGTCCCCCCACTTTCCACCTTCTCCCAAGCCTGACTGGTACACCCCCCTATGGGAGATACACTAGCCCTATCCTGTTGACTCCCAGTAGTTCTACCCTGCTGAGATCTGACTCTTGGAAGAGTCTGAGTCAGACTAAATTGTATGGCTCTAGGACAGTGATGGCGAACCTATGACACGGGTGTCAGAGGTGACACGCGAACTCATTTTTTTGGTTGATTTTTCTTTGTTAAATGGCATTTAAATATATGAAATAAATATCAAAAATATAAGTCTTTGTTTTACTATGGTTGCAAATATAAAAAAATTTCTATATGTGACACGGAACCAGAGTTAAGTTAGGGTTTTTCAAAATGCTGACACGCTGAGCTCAAAAGGTTCGCCATCACTGCTCTAGGGTGTGGGCCATTTTTACCCGCTTGCCCTAGTAGTGCAGTGCCCTTCCTTCACACGGCCACATCTTGGTCTTTTGGGGCCTAATAAACTCTGGTGGCCTCATCTGGTGACACCCTAAGATCCTGCCCCACAACAAAGGTGTACAAGCACTCGGCAGGTGGCAGCTAGACTTGAGTGACCTCAGACTCAGCACTGGCAGCAAGTTTGAACCTGTATCAATCTGGTGAACACCACTGGCCCCTACCTGGTGACTCACTGAGAACCTATCTCATGCACTCGAGTACCGCCAGAGGCTCTTTCAGTGACTGAGCCTAACAGGCAGCTCAGAGTGCCTTGGGGACTTTTGCTGACCTGCCCCTGGGCCCAATGCTGGTAAAAGCCAGGCTTAGTGCACAGCTTGGTCCTTCCTGCATACACCCAATCCCAGTAGAGACAGCCATAAACTGTGAATCTGAATAAGCAGATTACAACTAGTGAACTTGAAGCAGTAATAAAAAAACCCCAAAAACCTCCCATCAAACAATAGTCCTGTATCTGATGGCTCCACAGGTGAATTTTACCAAACATTCAAAGAACTAACACCTATCCTTCTCAGACTATCAAAAAAATTCAAGAGGAGGGAAGACTCCCAAGCTCATTTTAGGAGGCAGGCATTATCTTAATTCCAGAACCAGATATGACGCTACAAAGAAAGAAAATTATAGGCTAATATCCCTGATGAATATAGATGCTAAAATCTTCAACAAAATATTAGCAAATTGGATCCAGCAATACATTAAAAAGATCATACACCATGCCCAAGTGGGATTTAGTCCAGGAATGCAAGGTTGGCACAATATCTGCAAATGAATAAATGTGATACACCACATAAACAAAATGAAGGATCAAAATCACATGATCATATTAATAGATGCAGAAGAAACATTTGATAAAATGCAGCGCCCATTTATGATAAAAAGAAACTCTCAGCAAAGTGGGAGTAGAGGAAACATACCTAATGTAGTAAAGGCCATATATAACAAACCCCCAGCCAACATCATACTCAAAGGGCAAAAGCTAAAAGTGTTTCCCTTAAGATTAGGAACATGACAGGGATGTCCACTATCACCACTCTTCTTCAACATAGTACTGGAAATCCTAGCCACAGCAATCAGACAAGAAGAAGAACTAAAAGGCATCCAAATTGGGAAGGAAGAAGTAAAACTGTCATTATTTACAGATGACATGATACTGTATATAGAGAACCCTAAAGATTCCACACACACACACACACACACACACACACACACATACACACACAAAACAACTATTCAAGCTGATAAATAAATTCAGTAAAGTATCAGGATACAAAATAAATATCTAGAAATATGTTGCATTTTTATACACCAATAATTATCAGAAAGGAAAATTAAGAAAACAATCCCATTTATAATTGCATTGAAAAAAATACCTAGGAATAAACTTAACCAAGGATGCAAAAGACTTGCACTCAGAAAATTCTAAGACACTGAAGAAAGAAATTGAAGAAGCTACAAATAAGTGGAAGCATATACTGTGTTCATGGATAGGGAGAATTAAAATCATTAGAATGTCCAATATGTAGATTTAATGCAATTGTTAACAAAACACCAATGGCATATCTTACAGAAGTAGAACAAGTATTCCAAAAATTTATATAGAACCACGAAAGACCCCAAATGGCCTCAGCAATCTTGAGAAAGAAGAACAAAGTTGTATATCAAACTATACTACAGGGCTATGTTAATAAAAATAGATATACAGATCAATGGAATAGAATACAAAGCCCAGAAATAAATCCATGCATTTATGGTCAATTAATATTTGACAAATGAGGCAAAAACATACAATGGGATAAAGATAGTCTATTCAATAAATGGTGTTGGGAAAATTGGACAGATACATGCAAAAAAAATGAAACTAGACCACCTTCTTACACCATATAAAAGAATAAATTTTAAAATGGATTAAATACTTAAATATTAGACTTGAAACCATAAAAATCCTAGGAAAAAACATAGGCAGTAAAATCTCAGACATTTCTCATAGCAATATTTTTCTGATATATCTCCTCGGGCAAGGGAAACAAAAGGAAAAATAAATAAATGGGACTATATCAAACTGAAAAAATTTTGCACAGCAAAAGACACCATACACAGAATGAAAAGATACCCACCGAATGGAAGAACATATTCACCATGATACATCTGATAAGAGGTTAGTATCCAAAATTTATAAAGAACTTATAAAACTCAACACCAAAAAAAACCCCAAACAACCAAATTAAAAAGTGGGCAAAGGTCCTGAATAGACACTTCTCTGAAGAGGACATACAGATGGCCAGTAGACATGAAAAGATGCTTAATGTCACTAGTCATCAGAGAGATGCAAATTAAAACAATGACATCTCATCACACCTATCAGAATGACTATCACCAACAAATCAACAAATAACACGTGTTGGTGAGGATGTGGAGAAAAGGAAACCCTTGTGCACTGTTGGTGAGAACGAAGACTGGTACCCCCACTGTGGAAAACTGTATGAAGTTACCTCCAAAATTTAAAAATGGAACTGCCTTATGGCCCAGTTATTTCACTTCTGGAATATATTAGGAGAAACAGAAGACATGGATTTGAAAGAATACATGCACCGCTATGTTCATTGCAGCATTATTACAATAGCCAAGATCTGGAAACAGCCCAAGTGCCCATCAGTACGAGTGGATAAAAAAAAGCTGTGATACATTTACACAGTGGAACACTACTCAGCCATAAAGAAATAAAGAAATCTCACCTTTTGCAATAGGACCCAGAGGGTATTGTGCTAAGTGAAATAAGCCAGTCAGAGAAAGACAAATACCATATGATTTCACTTATACTATTACTAGAGGCCCGGTGCACAAAAATTTGTGCACTCGGGGGGGGGGGTCCCCCAGCCTGGCCTGTGCCCTCTCACAGTCTGGGACCCCTCGGGAGATAACGACCTGCTGGCTTAGGCCTGCTCCCGGGTGGCAGAGGGCAGGCCCAATCCCTAAGTGCAGCCCCTGGTCAGGCTCAGAGCAGGGCCGATTGGGGAGTTGGGGCGCCGCCCCGTCATGCACAGAGCAGGGCGGATCGGGAGGTTGCGATGCCACCCTCAGTCACGCTCAGGGTAGACTGATTGGGGAGTTGGGGCGCTGCCCCCTGTCACACACAGAGCAGGGTCGATCAGGGGTTTGGGGAGCTCCCCCCTGTCACGCACAGAGCAGGACTGATCAGGGGGTTGAGGAGCTCCCCCCTGTCACTCACAGAGTAGGGCCGATAGGGGAGTAGGGGCACCGCCCACTGTCACACACAGAGCAGGGCGGATCAGGGGGTTGGGGCGCTGCACCCTGTCACACTCAGGGCAGGGCCAATGGGTAGGTTATGGCTCTACCCTGTCACACACAGAGCAAGACCCATGGAGGGGGGTTGGGGCGCCACCCTCTATTACCCACAGAGCAGGGCCGATCAGGGGGTTGGGGCACCGCCACTGTCACACTCAGGGCAGGGCCGATGGAGAGGTTATGGTTCTACCCTGTCACACACAGAGCAGGGCCCGTGGAGGCGGGAGGTTGGGGCACCGCACCCTGTCACACACAGAGCAGGGCCGATCAGGGGGTTGGTGCGCTGCACCCTGTCACACACAGAGCCGCAGGGCAATCGGGGGATTGGGGAGCTCCCCCCCTATCAGGCACAGAGCAGGGCTGATCAGGGGGTTTGGGCGCTGCCCCCTGTCACGCTGATCCCGGTGCCGGGAGCCTCACTGCTCTGCTGATCCCGGTGCTGGGAGGCATATTACCCTTTTACTATATAGGATAGAGGCCTGGTGCACGGGTAGGGGCCGGCTGGTTTGCCCTGAAGGGTGTCCTGGATCAGGGTGGGGGTCCCCACTGGGGTGCCTGGCCAGTCTGGGTGAGGGGCTGAGGGCTGTTTTCCCGCTGGCAGTTGACTAAAAGCTCCCAACCGCTCCTTGTTTTCTTTTTTTTTTTATTCTGGGCCAGCTTTAGCTCTGAGGCCTCGCTGCTGAAAACATGGATACAATGTTGCGGTCCGGGGCTGACTGACAGCCGGTTTTGTTTAGCTTCTTATTTGCAACATAGTAATAGTTGCTTAGAGTTGCAGTTGAGAGTCCGGCAAGTGAGGCGGGGAACGTTGGAGTCTGCAGTCCCTGGAGGAAGCAAGCCTCCCTGCTCGCTTCAGTGCATGGCTGCCGGCCGCCATCTTGGCTGACAGTTAATTTGCATAAGGATACGCTGATTAGCCAATGGGAAGGGTAGCGGTCGTACGCCAATTACCATGTTTCTCTTTTATTAGTGTAGATATGGACTCTAATGAACAAAATAAACTAACAAACAAAATAGAAACAGACTCATAGATACAGAGAATAGACTGACAGTTGTTAGGGGGGTGGGGGCTTGAGGGCTAGGTGAAAAGGTGAAGGGATTAAGCAAGCACACACACAAAAAATGATGAGTTAATACCAGAGCCAAGTAAAAATGCCTAATTCTATTCTTTCTCTGTGTGCCTCTCCAACAGAGCTCTCAATCCCACTGACATAAAGCTCTGAAGACCCCCACAGACCGTGCACCAAGAATTCCGTTCAGGTCCTCGCGGATGGGCGTCAGCGTAGTCTACTAGACAGCAGAATGGAGACCACGCCCTTAAATTCCCAGAAGGAGCTGTCAGTGTGTAAGGACGGAGAAGACTGTCAGGAAAATGGACTTCTACGGAAGGGTGTTCCCGCCTCTGGGGATAAGGTGGAGTCCGGCCAGATCTCCAACGGGTACTCAGCAGTTCCGAGCCCCGGTGCAGGAGATGACACTCCGCACTCCATCCCGGCTGCCACCACCGCCCTAGTGGCTGAGGTTCACTCGGGGGAACGGGAGACCTGGGGCAAGAAGATGGATTTCCTCCTGTCAGTCATTGGCTATGCTGTGGACCTGGGCAACGTCTGGCGCTTTCCCTACATCTGTTACCAGAATGGAGGGGGTCAGTATCATGGGCCACGAGCAATCTTTTCCATCTTGTTTAACTGATCTGACTGCTTAGACTTAGAAGCTTATCTGAAAGATAAGCGTGTGTGAGTCTCTCGGGTTATGAAGTTGGACGAAACCTCCCTAGCCTGACCTCAGCAGATTTCAACATCACTAGTGCTCCATCTGTTTTGTTTTTTAAAAATATATCTTTATTGATTTCGGAGAGGAAGAGAGAGATAGAAACATCAGTGATGAGAGAGATCATTGATCGGCTGCCTCCTGCACACCCCCTACTGGGGATCGAACCCGAAACCAGGCCATGTGCCCTTGACCGGAATTGAACCCGGGACCCGTCAGTCCGCAGGCCGACACTCTATCCACTGAAACCAGGCCATGTGCCCTTGACCGGAATTGAACCCGGGACCCGTCAGTCCGCAGGCCGACACTCTATCCACTGAGCCAAACCGGCTAGGGCTATTAGTGCTCCATGCGTTGAAGAGCCCTTTCTCATCCCTGCGTATCCAAGCTCCACTCTCCACCCAGCGAGATGAGAGGGAGACCAGCAGCCCTGTGCTGAGCTCCTTCACTCCTCCCCAGAGGAGTCCAGAGAGGGGAGATCTGTGGGAGGAAAAATTGGGAGGCAGCTCCAGGGTCCAGACCCTCCTGGGCTTTTGGACCTGTGTGAGATCAGAGAAAGGGGTCAGCTCAGGTCAAGAGTCTTAAGGTACAGTCTGGGCATGATCCAGAGCTGGACCCAGCCACGCATGACATTAATGCCAACCCCCAACCATGCATGGATGTGCCTTGTATTCCGACAAGAGGGTTAGATTTTTGAGGCCAGAGACTAGTTCTTGTTCCTCCTCCTACTCCCAATGCCCTCAGAGCAGTTAACTTACAGATGATGAAAAAATAATAATAACTGACTGTGGGCATGGGTATGGGGTCCCCAGAGAGAGGAGTGGGTAGGTATGGGGCCTCCATGCTGACACACTGGACTTGCTCTCAGAATAGGAAAGGAAGGAAAGATGGGAGTCATAGCAGCCCGTGTTTATTTTGACAGGAGCTCTGGCAACAGATTTGGGAGGGCAGCTAAAATGAAGTTTGGGAGGTAATGCATTTGTGTCCATGGCGTGACACAGAGCTGCCTGTCTTTGCTGCTTTAAGGGCCATGGTCCATGCAGCTGTAGAGGTAGTTCCTGTTGGGGGTGGGGGGAAGGGTGGGGACAGGACGAGGGTGAGGGGAGAGGGGGAGGCTAGCACTTGCTGCCTGGGAAGAGCAGAGGTTGGAATCCCTTACCTCTAGCTTAGGAGGACTCACCTTTAGCCCGAGCATTACTTAAGCACTGGGCCACAAGTGCCATTTCTCCTACACTCATTCCTTATGGTGAAACCAGACAGGCAAACCCTATGGACAAATGCTACCATGACAGCACCATGTGGTTCTTATTTTCAATGCAGATTTCCGCAGAGTGATTGTAAGTTAGGTGGAAACTTCAGGTTTCTAGGTTCAGAGCACGTTATGCGCGGGAAAGTTGTCTGGGAAAACCAAGCTGACCCATCCTGGGGCTGTAGGTGAGCCATCCTTCACCTGGCATTTCCACACTCTGCCTCAGGCACCAGAGCCAGAAGTGCGGCAGCCCCGCCCTCTCAGTCCATGACCAACTGCCCTTCTCGGGCCCACCGGCCAAAGTGGCTCAGGAGGGAGCATTCCGGCCCAAAACTCAGTGGAATGATGGAAAATAGCTAAATGTCAATAATCAAGTGTCTGGAGTCAGGGGTGATATGGACGAACAAAGAAACGAATTCAGTGACTCACAGATCATCTCAGCTCTTCCACGGGCTGTCACAGGAGGTCTGTCCCAAGGGTCCCAAACGCTGCTTCCTGTACTGGTTACCTCAGAATCACCTGTGGAGCTGACAATTTGTTGTTGTTGTTGTTGTTGTTACACCCATACCTGGAGCTTCTGCTTCAGGAAGTCTGGGTGGGTGGGTGTTTTTAAGTGATTCCGATGGGTGGCTCTCAGCCCTGTGGCTTTATCGGGGAGGAAATACTCAGAGAGTGAGCCGTGTGAGGTTGCTCAGCATAAGGTGGCTTCGTGACACTGGAGCACTCGCTGGCTCTGCGATTCTGGGCGTGGCCCCTGGTGTCCAGGTCAGTGGCCCCTGGTGTCCAGGTCAGTGGCGCCTGGTGTCCAGGTCAGTGGCGCCATCCTGGCACCGAGCTGGGCAGAGTGTAAAATACTCTTTCATCTGCCTCAGGAGCGTTCCTCCTCCCTTACACCATCATGGCCATTTTTGGGGGGATCCCGCTCTTCTACATGGAGCTCGCGCTGGGTCAGTACCACCGAAACGGATGCATTTCAATATGGAGGAAAATCTGCCCGATTTTCAAAGGTAACGGAGAGGCTGAGGGGGCGGGCGTTCCCAGGAAGTGGTATCCTCCGTCAGTGGGGGGCAGCGGGGGGCCTCGAACCAGTGAAGCCTTCGGTCACCCTGGCAGGAAACTGGAGTAGAGTAGTTAAGCTTTTGACTGCTCGGGTGGTATGAGATGGTTAAAGGGAAACAGAATAAATGACAATGTACGCGAAACAGAAAACATGCGAAAGCTTTCACAGCACACACACATGTTCTGAGACATGTAACCTTGCACATACGTATGCGTCCTTTACCACAGTGCCACTTTCCCACCACCTCCTGAGTCTTTGGGGAATGAGATGAGTGGCAGCCCCCTCCTCCCAACCTCCCCCCCGTGCAGTGCCCTCGATGCCCTGTTTCAGCCTTTCACGGTGGGGCTGCCTCTTACGCTGGCCTCCCTCCCCCTCTGTCCCAGGGATCGGTTACGCCATCTGCATTATTGCCTTTTACATCGCCTCCTACTACAACACCATCATGGCCTGGGCGCTCTACTACCTCATCTCCTCCTTCACCGACCAGCTGCCCTGGACCAGCTGCAAGAACTCCTGGAACACCGGCAACTGCACCAACTACTTCTCGGGGGACAACGTCACCTGGACGCTCCACTCCACGTCCCCCGCGGAGGAATTCTACACGTGAGTGCCTGCAAGTGAGGGCGCGGTCCGTGGAGGGCAGGCCACAGCCCTGGGGTCTGGCTTCTGGGAAGGGAGGCCGGGGGCAGGGGTGGCCTCCCTCAGTCCAGATCTGGAGTCCCCCAACTCCCTAACCTGGCCCGCTGTGCCATCTGGCCTTTTCCGCTGTGCCGTGCCAGGTGGCTCCAACGTGCCCAGGACGATCCCCACCTTCATGTTCCAAAACGACTCCCTGCTTCAAAACCGCCCTTCTTCCTGGGCCCTCCTCAGCCGGTGTCATGGGAGCCCAGCCTCTGACACGTGGACAGTTTGAAACTATTCACACAGTTCCTGGTCTCATGTGTTCACTGTGTAAGGGGGACCCACCCCCAGGAAGAAGATGCCTGGAGTAGGGAGTATTCTGTAAGGCTGGGATTCCGGGCGATGGCCTGGGAGGCTGCCTTTGGGCTGAGCGCGTCTCTCAGGGTTGGTTGCCTGAAGAAAGTGCTAGTCTCTCCTTCCTGTTGGGCACAGCCAATCCCAGCTCTTTTTTTTTTTTTAATCCTTGCCCCAGGATATTTTTCCCACTGATTTTTTTAGAGAGAATGGAAGGGAGAGGGGAGAGAGAAATATCGATGTGAGAGAGACACATCGGTTAGTTGCCTCCTGCATGCGCCCTAACTGGGGCTGGGAATCAAACCTGCAACCCAGGTACGTGCCCTTGACTGGGAAACCTTCGGTGTGTGGGCCAATGCTCTAACCACTGGGAAACACTGGCCAGGGCCAATCCCAGCTCTTGCTGAGGCTTAGTGACTACTTGGTGCTTGCAGTGCAGTGTCCATGTCGTCTCTTTCTCTTTCTCTCTCTTTTTGTGAGAACTTTTAGCTTAAAAAAAATATTTTTTATTGATTTTTTAGATTTTAGAAAGAGAGGAAAGGAGAGGGAGAGATAGAAATATTGATGAAAGAGAAATATCAACATCCATCAGCTGCCTCCTGAATGGCCTCTGCTGGGGATGTGCCCTAAGCAGGAATCAAACCGGCAACCTCTTGGTGCATGGCCGATGCTCAACCACTGAGCCACACTGGCCAGGCCCGTGTCTTCCTGGCACCTCCTCCCGGTATCACGACGCTGTGCTCAGGTCACTGTTCAGACCATCTCCCAGGCCTTTCTTTCTCTTTCACTCCAGGCGCCACGTCCTGCAGATCCACCGGTCTAAGGGGCTGCAGGACCTGGGGGGCGTCAGCTGGCAGCTTGCCCTCTGCATCATGCTCATCTTCACTATTATCTACTTTAGCATCTGGAAAGGCGTCAAAACATCTGGAAAGGTAAGGAGGACTCCACTGCTCCAGGCCTGCCAGGGGGCCCCAGGGGATCTCCAACTCAGGACTCAGTGGGCCAGACAGCCACAGACAGAAGGGCATTGCCTCCTTCTACACCAGACACATCCCATGATGCTCAATCTCTCTCCACCAAATGTTAGAAGGTTCTAGAAATGGGCCACTTCCAAGAACCATTACATGCTTTTAAAATTTTTTTCTTTAACCCCCTGGCAGCGTCACAATTGATAATAGTGGCAATAATTTACTGAAAAGCCCTGGTGGACCTTGCTCAGTGGCTACTTGACTGCTTCCTGCTAGATTCTTGCCCCGCTTACAGGTGGGGAGTGGGTTTGGAGGTAGTTAGCACCACCCAGCGGTGGATCGGGTCCCTGTCTGATTCTGAAGGCTGTGACCAGTCTGCCCCAGCACCCTGCCTCCTACAATCACAGAGACAAGGAAAGGGGTAGATCTCCTTTCTTGAAGGTTTTCAAGAATAAAAGACACCAGCATCCACGTGGTGATCACCTGTCTTCCCTTCCTCACAGGTGGTGTGGGTGACAGCCACCTTCCCTTACATCATCCTTTTGGTCCTGCTGGTGAGGGGGGCCACCCTCCCCGGAGCCTGGAGAGGTGTTCTCTTCTACCTGAAACCCAACTGGCAGAAACTCCTGGAGACAGGGGTAAGACCATGAGGAAAACGGGGTGCGCCTCCTCTGTCATTTTACTGAGTGAAACTAACCCTCCCAATAAGACGGTAGCAACAACTCAAATGTGGGTTCGATGGCAAGTCTGCAGTGATGCTTTCCATCAGAAATACACGCAGGAAAAGTACAGTTGAGGTCCCTGGCTTGGTTTGTGCCCACATGGCAGAAGAGAACCCGCATCTGTTGGCACTGGCTGTGGGCCATCCCTGGAACAAGCCTGGAGAGCTGCTAATCGGTGTCTGCGCGCAGCCACGTGGGGGCGTGAGGCGCTGGCCCCGCTGGCACCCCCCCTCGGCCCAGGGCCCAGCCCTCACCCTTCCTCTGCTGTGTTCCAGGTGTGGGTGGATGCTGCCGCTCAGATCTTCTTCTCTCTTGGTCCTGGCTTTGGGGTCTTACTGGCTTTTGCGAGCTACAACAAATTCAACAACAACTGTTACCAGTGAGTATCGGGGGGCCCCCCAAGCAAAGCTTAAAAGGGGGGTGAGTGTAAGTCAGCCGATCTGGAGGAAGGTGATCGAACCAATGGCCTCAAACCTGGCTGGGCTCAGGCCATGGTGACACACTGACCCTCAGGGGTGCCATAGGTCCCTGATCAACTCGCCCTGAGCCAGAGGCCACCCGGGCCACTCAGGGGCTGAGAGGGGCCCCAGGCCACTTCCATTCTGTGAGTCTCTGTATATTTAAAACAATTAATTAAGAAATTCTAAAGCAGGTTTACAAAAATTGCAAAAGGCACTAAATGTTGATATTTGACTTATTGTACTTAACAATACAATTACAATGTGATCATTTGTTTATGTATATAGACACAAAAAGTATAATGATTGAGCAATATTTTTTCCTTTTTTGTTTTTTGTTTTGTTACTCCTCACCCAAGGATAATTTTTTCCATTGATTTTTTTTTTTTTTTTTTTTTTAGAGTGGAAGGGAGTGGGGTGGAGAGAGAGAGAGAGAGAGAGAGAGAGAGAGAAGGAGAGGGAGAGAGAGAGAGAGAAATCAATTTGTTGCCTCCCACACTCGCCCCAACCAGGGGCCTGGATCAAACCTGCAACCCAGACACATGCCCTTGACCGGGAATTGAACTCTTGACCCTTCGGTGCGCAGGCCGAAGCTCTAATCACTGAGACACACCAGGCAGGGCTGACTGAACTATTTTGACCAACACAAAACACCATCATTTTTATGGTAAAATCTTATTTCAGAAATGTTGATAAAAGAAAGTATTGCACCAATTATGATTTAAATATCACTCACCATCTTTAGAGTTGACTTTGTTTTAATGTTCTATCACAGATGGCAAGGTGCAGCAATCGAATTATGCTACTCATAATTACAGAATTAATTAAAAAAATAAAAAGGAATTCACATACTCCCGAGCAATGTGGCCTTGCGTTGGGACACCGGCCGGAAGTCCTACGATGAGGTCTTCTATTAAAAGTGTCAGGGTGTCACTGTGGCAGTCTTGTCACCTCAGTGGCACATGATGCAAAAGCCTAAATCTGAGCACTTCACAAATGGGAGGCCAAGCCCTGACTGGTTTGGCTCAGTGGATAGAGCGTCGGCCTGCGGACTGAAGGGTCCCAGGTTCGATTCCAGTCAAGGGCATGTGCCTTGGTTGCGGGCACATCCCCAGTGGGGAGTGTGCAGGAGGCAGCTGATCGATGTTTCTCTCTCATCGATGTTTCTAACTCTCTATCCCTCTCTGTAAAAAAATTAATAAAAAATATATATATTTTTAAAAAATGGGAGGCCAAGATGTCCTTCGGCTCCCACCTAACCCAGGCCCTGCTTCAGAGCAAACCTTGTTTGAAACCGAGGTCTGTGCTGTGCTGGCTCACATCAGGGCGGTATTATAAAACCACCCTGACCAGCTGTCCTCCCTGCCATGTGTGATAATAAGGGCAGCTTGTGCTTCCAGGCTGGTCCAACAGTCTGAGAGGCCGGGCGCTGGGAGGGGGAAGGGACACCAGGTCGGGCTCGACGTCCCTGTGAGCTCAGCCCGCTCACCCTTGCCGCACCCCGAGACAGATGCTCCTCAGACTCCTGACTTGGACATGTCTCAGCCCCCTTGGGTTTTCTGCTCCAGGGACGCCCTGGTGACCAGCCTGGTGAACTGCATGACGAGCTTCGTTTCGGGATTTGTCATTTTCACGGTGCTTGGCTACATGGCTGAGATGCGGAAGGAAGACGTGTCCGAGGTGGCCAAAGACGCAGGTGGGGCCTCGTTCCGTTCAGGTCCCGTGTTCCCATGGAATTGCTTTGCTGCTCTTTGGAGCTTTTCAATATCTAACATTTGAATGATTTCTAAATGTTTTATTTTGTTTAATTTTTCAAAGATCTTAAAGAAATGTAATGCCTTGGAGATCTCAACCCTTTCCAGGTGTTCAGGCCATGGTGGGGATGGGGCAGCTCCCTGGACACCCCGTCCCGGGGCCTTGAATACACTATGGGCTCCCCCTCCCCCTCTGTCTCAGGCCCCAGTCTCCTCTTCATCACATACGCAGAAGCCATCGCCAACATGCCGGCGTCCACCTTCTTTGCCATCATCTTCTTCTTGATGTTGATCACACTGGGCTTGGATAGCACGGTGAGTGGATGGGGAGGGAAGGACGGAGAGGAGGGGGGAAAGGAGGAGGTGGAGGAAGGGGGGTGGAAAGAGGAAGTTGTACCGGTTCCCTCCCATCCTACCCCCGCCTCCCCCCCCTCCCCCCCCCGCCCCAGGTGGTGTTGGCTGCCCCCTCCTGGTGCTCCCCCAGCCCCTAATTCACTCCTCATCGACTGTGCTTACCGCCCTCTAGTACCTTAGAGAGTCATGGATGGGGTGACTGGGTGTATATCCACAGGCCAGGGGCTCAGCCTATGTGAGCTGCTATTACTGTGCACGGTCCCATGGCCTGATGGCAGCAGCGAGAGGCCGGGGCAAGGTCGCCTGCGTCTCAGTGCCCTGCCACCCACATCCGGCTCCGGGCCTTGCACTTAGCGTGGACTGAGTCTGGGCTCCCCAAGAGACCTCCCATAAAAAGTCCTCTCCACGTGCTGTGTTGTCCTTCCTTCATGTCCTCAGGGGTGGGCTCTGAAGGACTATAAACAGGAAAAGGCAGTTGCAGTGAGGGCTGCTGATCATGAGCAGCTTGGCCGGTCGCTTGCCGGTCTTAACCCCGCCCTCCCGTTCACCGCCCTGGAAGGTGACAGCTTTGTGCCGAAGCCGCCCCTGTGACCATGTGTGCGTCCCCCTCAGTTTGCAGGCTTGGAGGGGGTGATCACGGCGGTGCTGGATGAGTTTCCGCACATCTGGTCCAAGCGCCGGGAGTTGTTGGTGCTCGGTGTGGTCGTGACCTGCTTCTTCGGGTCCCTGTTCACCCTGACGTTTGTGAGTATCCCACCCCTCGGCTTTGAGTCAGCTCCCCGAGGGCAGGAGGACGAACGCTTCAAGAAGCCATTCCTTTCCTTCCATCCCACATGGTGCCCTGGCTTTGGGGCCAAAGCGGGGAGAGGGGGAGGCTTATAAAAAGCTTGTCATCAAAGATAAAAAGAAACGTTGTTTCTAGTGGCGTCTGTCCGTAGAATCTGGAGACTGTTGGCATTTTCCAGTCGCTCCAACTAGATTCCGGGCTTGGCAGCACATCTGGAGAAAAACGAAGATTTGCTTTTCCAGTGTATTCCCAGCCCCTTGGGCTGCTTTCGTGGCAATATTGCCCTGATGTCCGGATGTGCAGAGCATCTGGAGGCTGGCGTCTCAGGTTTGCGATGTCACCGGGTCTCCTCCAGAGAACTTGCAATGGTGAAGGCGTCAGATCCCCTCCAGTGATTTTTTTTTTTTTTAGCTGAAGCAAATACTGTAAAATGGACATCAGATAAGTACCCACAGATTTCCTAAGCTTGTGTCCTGTCTCCAGGCAGATTTTGCAGATACGAATCTTCAAGCCACGACCCAGTGTCTGTGGAGCTTCGATAGGGTGCTGGGACCCTGAGCAGGACCCGAGGGACGTATGAGTTAGGGCGGAAGGTGTGACCCATGTACGCGGTGGGTCTGGCACTGTGGAATCTCCCAGATTCAGAGAGGAAGGGAGAAGGAGAGATAGACACATCAGTAATGAGAGAGAATCATTGCTGGGCTGCCTCCTGCACGCCCCTCACTGGGGATCAAGCCCACAACCTAGGCATGTGCTCTGACCAGGAATCGAACCGTGACCTGGTTCCTAGGTCGATGCTCAACCACTGAGCCACACCAGCAGGGCCCAGATTCAGTCTTTAGGGACCGGGATTCTCTAAGGTAGAGTATACATAGTAGGTGCTCGGTAAATTGAAGAAAGTTGAAAATAGATCAAGGCCCTTTTGAGTGTGTCTCTTAAAACTTAGTGCGAGAGGAAACACGAAGGGGGCACTCCACTGGGAGGGGAGAGGCCTCGAGGGGTGGAATCTGGTCCACCCTGAGGCCCTTATATTAGGTCCACGGTGGGACTCCCCAGAATGATCCTTCGTTGAGGCCCCTCTGGTAAAGAGGAGGCGATGCCTCAGGCGACCCCTGACCAGGGCCTGCTCGCCTTTGCAGGGCGGGGCCTACGTGGTGAAGCTGCTGGAGGAGTACGCCACGGGGCCCGCCGTGCTCACCGTGGCCCTGATAGAAGCCATGGCCGTGTTCTGGTTCTACGGTAAGATGCTGCCTTCCACCAACCACAGTCCTGTCTCCGTCAGCCCGCAGCCACCAGACTGGGGCAGGGCTGATTTCACCAAAGGGCGGGCGGGCGGGGCGGGGGGCGGGTGCGAGATGTCACCTCCGGGTGGGTCTGTGAGATAAGCTCAGGTGAGTGCCTTCCTCAGAAACAGGCCCTCCTCTCCCGCCTCCCTCGCACAGCAGGTCGCTTTTACCTGGGGAGGATGTTTTTTCCTCTCTGAGTTTATTTTATTTATTTACTGACTTATTTACGTCCTCACCCCAGGATATTTTTGCATTGATTTTTACAGAGAAGGAAAGACAGAGAGAAATATCGTTGTGAGAGAAACACATCGATTGGTTGCCTCTTACATAAGCCCTGAGCAGGGCTGGAGAGGAGCCTGCAACCGAGGTACGTGCCCTTGACTGGAAGTGAACCGGGGACCCTTCGGTCCGCAGGCCGACGCTCTATCCACTGAGCCAAATCGGCGAGGGCAGTGGTTCTCAGCCTTCTGGCCCTTTAAATACAGTTCCTCATGTTGTGACCCAACCATACAATTATTTTCGTTGCTACTTCATAACTGTAATGTTGCTACTGTTATGAATCTTCATGTAAATATCTGATAGGCAGGATGGTCTTCGGCGACTCCTGTGAAAGGGTCGTTGGACCGCCAAAGGGGTCGTGACCCACAGGTTGAGAACCGCTGGGCTAGGGCCTCCCCCTGAGTTGAAATGTTCACCCGGTGGAGACAGGCTGACGCGGTCCCTGCAGCTCAGCCACAGTGGATGCTTACCATCCTGACTGGCGGTGAGAACTGGGCGGAACACAGAGAAGCAGGTCCCGGTGAAGGCATTTGCAGGGACCATATCCCACTGTCACAGAGAGTGGCCCTCAGCTTACATTTCGCAGGCAAGAGCTCCCCGCAGAGTCGCGAGGCAGAGGTTAGTTTATCTTCTAGGAGGAGGCAAGAATGTTCCTGTTTGGATGATCTGCCCTGGAGAAACCGCCTCAGGTCCTGGGATGGAATCTGATAAGGATGAAACCTCCGGGAAGGAGCACACACAGTGAGCTCACCTGGGTCCCCCGGCAGGAGTCCCAGGAGCCCCTGCATGGGGCTGGGGAGGGCACAGGCAATCGGAGTGAAGACAACCAGGTCCAGGGATGCCTCTCTTTATCTTTAAAATCCAGAAGAGACGAATCCATTCTGAAAATGTGTTTATTTTCCTAGTTCCTATGATAATAAAACAGCTTTAGTGTGTTTGTCATTATGTATAACTAGAGGCCTGGTGCACAGATTCGTGCACTGGTGGGATCCCTCAGCCTGGCCTGCGCCCTCTCGCAATCTAGGACCCCTCAGGGGATGTCAGACTCCCAATCCTCACAGGCTGGCCAGGGGTCAGGCCGAAACTGGCAGTTCGACATCCCCCAAGGGATGTAGTAGTGCAAGAAGCGGCAGGCGGCCGTGCCGGGCACCGCACCACTCCCGCACATCCTGGCCCCGCTGCGCCTGCTACTGCCACTCAGTAAGCTCTCTGAGCGGTGCTCCTGCTGTCAGAGTACACTAACCACCAGGGGGCAGCTCCTGCCTTGAGCGTCTGCCCCCTGGTGGTCATAGCGACTGGTCAAATGGTTGACCAGTTGCTTAGGGCTTTATAGATAGATAGATAGATAGATAGATAGATAGATAGATAGATAGATATGAAGGAGGGCATGTTTTGAGTTGCATGTGAGTCCAGTTTTTTAAAAAGAAGTCCTCCCCACCTCCTTGGCAATTCAGACGACAAAGTTCAAGTGTGAGCACCACTCTAGACCTGCCCGAGGTACTGCCAGGCTCTCTCAGGGAAGCCAGCACAGGGCACCCTTCCTGCCCCTTCTCGATTTCTCACCAGCCGGGGTCTCACTTCTCACTTCCATGCCAGTTACTTTGACAGAAGAACCCTGATGGTGCTCTGACAGGGGGCTGGGCCGTGCTGTGGTTAAAATGGAAGTTTCCCGTACATGGTCATCAGGTCCAAGTCAGTCTGTTTTGCGGGTTCGTCATTCCTAACAGAAACATAACTTCCTTTTCCACAGTAGCAATAAAAAAATAAAATGTATGCTGAGATCTTAGAAAGGCCGTGTGGGCACCAGGAGGGGGCTGTAGGTCTCTCCCCAGCGGTCCCCCTACCCAGCCTACTCTATGCAGAAAGAACGTTGCTTGCTCTGAAATGCGATTCTGGGACAAGTCCCTCTGTCCCACTTTCTCCCACTTTCAGCCCAGATCGGTGCCCTGAGCCCCTCACGGGACATTTCATGGCGGCTCCTCTCTCTGAGGGAGTCCTCTCGCAGTGATCAGTCTCCCTCTCTCTCTCCCCGCCCCCGCCCCCGGCTGGTTGCAGGCATCACCCAGTTCTGCAGCGACGTGAAGGAGATGCTGGGCTTCAGCCCCGGATGGTTTTGGAGGATCTGCTGGGTGGCCATCAGCCCTCTGTTTCTCCTGGTGAGTTGTTCTTTCCCTTCTCCTTCCGGCCCTGGAGAAAGACCCACTCAAACACTTACAAGAAATAAGTCGTATCGAAGTGAAACATACACAGAAAAGGGTCCAAATTGTAAGTGTACATGCCCTACACTGTTATAGAGGGAGCACACTTTTGTAGCCAAAATCATACCAAGAAGAAAAACAATGAGCTGAAGCCCCTCTGTGTCCCCTCCCAGTCACCGTGCCCCCCACGGCTAACCACTCTTCTGACTTCCAACACCATAGCGTCATCCGGGCCTCGGTCACCTTACTGCTTCCTTCCCTGCTCAGGGATCATGATAAAGAAACTTTACTGAACAGTAAGCACCAGGCCAGACATGGTATTACTTTTAATCCTCACTGCAATTCTGTGAGGTCGTATAGCTCTAATACCCCAATTTACATTTAAGGAAATTGAGGCTTAGAGACGCTAAGTAAAGGGTCTGAGATCACATGACAATTGAGAACTGTTCAAGGCTGGGGAAGGCTTTACTGGGCTGCTCACGAGGCCCTGGGCAGGGTCCTAGTGGTTTTATGTCCATTTTCTTTTCTTTTTAAAAAAATATGTTTTGATTGATCTCAGAGAGGAAGGGAGAGGGAGTGAAGATAGAAACTTCAATGATGAGAGAGAGTCACTGATGGGCTGCCTCCTGCACGCCCCACACTGGGGATCGAGCCCGCAACCTGAGCATGTGCCCTGACAGGGAATTGAACAGTGACCTCCTGGTTCGTAGGTTGATGCTCAGCCACTGAGCCGTGCTGGCCAGGCTTCTGTCCATTTTCTTAAAGACGCCCCCACACAGGTCCCCCAGTGTGACCTGAGTCCATAGTAGAATCTACTTATTGCCGAAGGAGCTGGATGAGAACATTTGGGTTCAGCCGTTGCCCATTTGCCAGGACGTGTTCGGGGGCCACAGCATCTTTGCTGCAGGTGCCCTGCGCTTCCCTGGTGTCCGTCTGGAGGAGATGTCTGCCCAGCGATGGAAAGCACCTGCTAGCACCCCACGTGCGCTCGGAGGTGGCCTGGGGGGAGCCACGCCGTGCACATCGGCAGGGACTGCTGTCCTGGTCTTTCGTGTGCCTATAGGTTTATTTGGGAAGGGGGAGCTTGTCTACCTTTTAGCGCCGGAAACGTTATTACGGTAGACTTCCTACCTAATAAGCTCCAGCTTATTAGCAGCGTCTGGGCCATCCATTGTCCTTAGGACGTCTCTGCCTTTGGCCCACGGCTGTGCCTTCCCCCCTCTTTGAAAACAGCCCTTTTTGCCATCTGTTTTGACTTTCTCAGGGAAGCCCTTTATTCTCTGTACTTTTTGTACAACACATCCGTCTATGAGATGAACGACATGCTCACCTGGCCTTCTCAACGCTGCCCGTGCCTCTCCCCAGAATTCCTCCGCGAGGTTTCCACAACCTGAGCCAGCCGAGCAGCAGGAACGCCCAGCGGCTCTGGTGTGGGCTCTGGGCTCCAGGGTCCCCTAGACCCTGGCCCGGCCGTTCCTTGTTGCCTTACCAACTCCTTGTCGCTTTTCGATACATGATTAGAAACATATCCATTTTAGAATCCAGAAACGGTAGCTGTTTCCAGCGAGAGGGTTGGTCTGAATCACCTGCCTGACATGACTAGAAGTCGAAGTCCTGACATAAATGGGTTATTCATTTACGTTATTACCAGTGCTTCTCCGTAATCTACTTAAATCCTTTCATTTGTTTTTCAAAGGAAGGAGACACTGGATTCGTTTCTTGAGGGAAGAAGTAGTGTTTGTTTGTTTGCTTCAGCAGTCCCCACACAGGCAGGAAATGATGTCCAGGGCTCACATTTGGGAGAGGCAACCGAGGCACTCAACACGGACATAAAATTTAAGGGGGCACCCAAAATCTCAGCAATAAAAATAAATGCTATTTTTTCTTCGTTAATCCTCACCTGAGGATATTTTTTCCATTGGTTTTTTAAAGAGAGTGGAAGGGAAAGAGGGAGGGAGGGAGAAAGAGAGAAACATCAATGTGAGAGAAACACATCAATTGGTTGCCTCCCACTCATGCTCCGACTGGGGCCAGGAATTGAACCTGCAACCCAGGCCCATGCCCTTGACTGGCAATGGAACCCGAGACCCTTTGGTGCACGGGCCTATGCTCCAACCCCCGAGCCTCACCGGCCAGGGCTGTAAATGCTATTTGAATGCAATATTTTTTAAAAATCTGAAATTAATGCCCAAAACAATCCCTGATGAACAAAATATCAACATTTAAAATAGAGACAGGATCCAACCCCGCATTGGGATGACTTAGCTCACTCCCCTCACCCTAATCCGGCCGTGTCAGATCCTGTCTTTGTAACATACTGCGCTCAGATATTACTTATCTTGACTCCTGAAATTTTGGCCCCCTGAAGTGTTGTGCCCGAGGTGAGTGCCTCGCCTCTCGACCTGACCCCGGCCCCAGGCTTTTACTGTTTTCACTTCTGTGAACTGCTGGGGTGTCTGGTGGACCGGGCGAGCTCCTGGTGGACTGTGTGTTTTGCTGTCCAGCAAAACCTACGTGCAGATCCTGGGTTCAGACACATTACTCATCATTCCCGTGATGCTCGCTTTCCTCGTGTCCTGTAGAGGCAAGTGCTCCGGGGCACGATGAAGAGGAGGGCATCTGTCTTCCACTTCTGGGTTTACTTAAACAGATCCCCTGCTCTGGGCTTTATAAGGCTGCTCTAGGTAAACAATGAGTAGCTTACTAAAAATAATCTTTGTCACTGAAGCCAAGTTACAAAAAAAGAAAATATTGTCTACGAGCAAGGAGCGCCTGGGACGTGTAAAGGGGTGAGGCTGGGACGTGTAAAGGGGTGAGTGAGGCTGGGACGTGCAAAGGGGTGAGGCTGGGACGTGCAAAGGGGTGCGTGCCTAAAACAATGTGTCCTGGCCACAACAAAGGCTTGAGGCCTCCCTGAGCTGCACTAGACTTCACACCTGACGTCAAGATGAGAGGAGTCACAGCAGGGATGGCTCCTAACCAGACACCCCCCCCCTCCCCACCCCCCGCCTTCCCTGTTCCAAAACTACCCTCCTTAGTAGCCACGTCTGGAGTGAGGAGAGTAAGTCCAGAGAAAGGTTTGGATTGGCGGGGCTCCTGTTTTGAAAGCTTCCTCCTGGGCTTAGGACAACACTGCTCAGAAGATGGATGTGTGTTTAACAATTTCCCATTTTATTACCTGCAGACAAAGAAAAGAAGAGATATAAATAGATGTTTAACCACACAAATAATTTACATTACTGTCTTCTTTATGACTATGAAATAAAAGAAAATTAAATCAAGAGCAATAAGTATTTGGCCACAGTGGTTACTAGGCAAAAACCGATACTGACGCTCTCTCTCTGGAAACCAAACTGAAATAAGAAAACGCATAAACCGAGTGTCGGGAGCACGCCGTGGAATTTTTCTTGCTCAAATTCTTCACTGAATTTTCAAGGAGAAAGTAGATTAGGCTGCTTTTTCCTTCCATTGTCCCTTTCGTTACGGGGGCCTGTGGCAGGCAGGCATTCGTTGTTGGGATGTCTGGGGGCACAGCCAGCCTTGTAGCGACCCCAGCTAAGACGCTTAATGCAGGAAGCAGCCCTGGGCAGGGGAGAGAAGGAGCACAGACCCAGGAACCTCAATCTCTCTCCTGGACATAGGTCCCTTCTATCCAACCAAAACCACTGCAGCCGAGGAAGGCAGGACATGGGAGCAAAGCAGAGGGGAACAGGAGGCCCCCGGGCTGCCAGGGGCCGGGCTGGCAGGGGCCGTGGAGCGGTCACACAGCTTATTCCTCCCCCGTCTGATAAGAGGAGCCCAAACCACTTCTGGTGTCGGCCAATCTCTTCCCCTTTGCCCTGAAGGGGGTGCTGTAACTCCCTTAAATAACATTCTGAGGTCTCGGCACCCCCACTCCCGTCCCATAAACCTCAAATCAACGCTGTAGAGGTTGAGGTGGGGGGTCGGGAGGAAAGTCAAGATAAGCACCTGGCTGTTTTATTTTGCAGTAAATGAGGCACAGGAATCGGTGCATTTAGTGTGTCAGAGTTCAAGCTGAGATACTGCACACAGTTTGGGAACTTCCTGAAAGTATCTTAGCTTTACATTTGGTGTTCGTGGTATCAGAACTGCGTCTAGTTGCACAGATATCGTTAAGATTTTTAATGTTTCTTGGAATTTCTGTTTTAGTTCATCATTTGCAGCTTTTTGATGAGCCCGCCACAGCTGCGACTTTTCCAGTATACTTATCCTCACTGGAGCATCGTCCTCGGTTACTGCATAGGGACCTCGTCTTTCATCTGCATCCCCACCTACATAACCTACCGGCTGATCATCACTCCAGGGACACTGAAGGAGGTGTGTGCTCGCTAGTGTGTGTGTGTGTGTGTGTGTGTGTGTGTGTGTGCGCGCGCGCGCGTGCAGACTGGTAATTGTTTGGGGAGAAAAGGATTCTCTTGTTATGATCTATTCAAAGGAGATAAGTCCACCACATGAAATTCACCTTATATATTTATACTAGAGACCCAATGCACGAAAATTCGTGCAAGAGTAGGCCTTCCTTCCCCTGGCTGCTGGCACCGGCTTCCCTCCAGCCCCAGCTTCGTCTGGAATGACGCCTGGAAGGACAATCGGTCTAATTAGCATATTATCCTTTTATTATTATAGATAACTTACACTATGTAGACCTCACACAGCTGCCACTGTCCTCTTAAGGCATTTCCCCTAAACCTCAAATCAACAGTGAAGGAAGGAGCTGGTCATTTGGGAGCAGCATGGTGTACGGCGTGGGGTGTATGCAGTGTCCTAAACTTACCAGATAACTCCTTTGCCTCCTGCTTGCCATTGGATTCAAATCAGTGGTGCCTGGGGCAATATACAAAATTTTTTCTTTATTATATATTTTATTGATTTTTTTACAGAGAGGAAGGGAGAGGGATAGAGAGTTAGAAACATCGATGAGAGAGAAACATCAATCAGCTGCCTCCTGCACACTCCCTACTGGGTATGTGCCCGCAACCAAGGTACATGCCCTTGACTGGAATCGAACCTGGGACCCTTGAGCCCGCAGGCCGGCGCTCTATCCACTGAGCCAAACCGGCCAGGGAAGGCTCCTGATTCTTGGTCCCATGCTCTCCCTTTAGTTGCAGCTTCTCTTTTGTCCTCAGTTTGCCCTCTCAGAGTTCGCTGATGTAGACATTGGAGCTAGAGGTTAGGGAGAGGTGAGTTGCCATTTTTTTTTATCCTATGTTGTAGAATTAGTAGTTCAGGTCGCTTCCAAGTCCGTAGGTGGGTGCTATTGTAGGGGATAAGCTCAAAGGGGAAGAGTGTATTTGGGGAAAGCCAGAAGAGGTGGCATTCCATAATGAACTGAAAACAGATGGGCTGGTCTCTGGGCCCTAAGAAGCAAAACCCAAGCATGAGACCAACGCACTCATCTCCCTAAAATGCCTTCTAAGAAACATGAGTCAAGAGAACATGAGGCAATTAAGCATCAGCCCTTCCTGAGAACTGAGTTCATTGCTTTGTCCAAGTGGGGAAACTGAACTCTAGGTGAATAGAACTCGGTAAGGAGTTACTCATCTCCTACACCCAACCCTGTCCTGTCACATCTCATTCCTCCCAAGGGCCTTGAACTTTGGTGCTGCTTGAAACACATGCTCAGACCTAGTCACTGAATTTGTTTCTTCAGGTTGTCCTTTATGGCAGCTGTGAGGGGCCCCTGGCTCTCTTGACTCAAACCCAGAGGCCAAGGTCAGGGTTGGGAACTCAGTTTAATAAATGTCAGTATTCTTTGGGCACAGACTCAAATCTTGATCATCTTTCTTGCAAATTCCCCATTAGCCACAAGGATATGCCACCCAGAGGTGTATACTTAATAGAGCTCAGATCCATCAGTGGTAGAGGTAAGGCTGGTCGTAGGGCCACCTTTGCCAGAGGCCACCAGAGAGGGAACAGTGAGTTACCAGTCAAGGAGGACCGGGAGGGAGAAGACCTGCTCAGCTAGGGCAAGTTATTCGCCTTCTCGTGGCCTTAAAATGTGCTCGTCGGACTGGATTAACATTTCCCAAATGTTAATATTTTTTGAAAATATATTTTTATTGATTTCAGAGAGGGCTAGAGAGATAGAAACGTCAATGATGAGAAAGAATCATTGATCGACTGTGTCCTCTACATCCCACACTGGGGATCGAGTCCACAACCCAAGCATGTGCCTTGACTGGGAATCGAACTGTGACCTCCTGGTTTATAGGTCGATGCTCAATCACTGAGCCACACCAGCCAGGTTCAGATGTTAATATATTGTAAGGATCAATCATTCCATGGCTTATCAGTAGGCATTACTGCAGGGGGGGAATTTTTTATGTAGTCAAAAGGTTTTGGAGAATGCTGGGTCAAGGCAAGTTGAATAGGTTTCTTTACTGCAGGACTTCCCAAAAGCTTTAAATGCCCACGTGCATCTTAGTCTCCGAGAGCGATAAAGCATGTCCTGTTTTTTTGCCAAGAACACCAAGGGACGGTAATTATTCGTGAATACCATACTTGATGGTCTATTACAGTGATGGCGAACCTTTTGAGCTCGGCGTGTCAGCATTTTGAAAAACCCTAACTTAACTCTGGTGCCGTGTCACATAGAGAAATTGTTTGATATTTGCAACCACAGTAAAACAAAGACTTATATTTTTGATATTTCTTTTATATATTTAAATGCCATTTGACAAAGAAAAATCAACCAAAAAAATGAGTTCGCGTGTCACCTCTGACACTGGTCTATAACATTCTTTCTATGAGAGAGGGAGGCTGCATATGAAATGTTAATATGGTAAATGGTAAAAACATGAAGGCTAAGAGAAAGGTAAGTTTCTTCACTCTTGTGGGCCCCGGCCATACACCAGGTTGGAGTTTGTGGAGCCACCACTTGCCCACCTGTAATTTGGAGGATATCACATTCACCTGTAGGAGGAAGGCTCAAGGTTGGCGTCATCAACTCGATTAGGCCATTCACAGAAGCCCCTGGTACTCTGCACAAGATACTGGTCCCTGATGAGTAGGCATCCAACAGGGATCCATTTCTTAGATGAGCACCTTGCAGAAGGCCAGGGCTGGCAAATTTTGAGAGTCACAGTAGTCTGGCCACTGAAATGCTGCCAAAATATGAAAGCAAGGGTGGGCCTGGCAGACTGGGGGAATCAGCAGCCAGAGGGGCAGCTGAATAGGTCGGTGGGGGCCAGGGTGCAATGTGGTTCACCGTACACCTCGGTGCTTTCTTCTCCTTCTGTGCAACACTTAAGACTAGAGTGATCTGTGCCCAGTTCCCAATTAGCAAGATATAACTCTGTGTAATCAGGTTACATATTCCATTTAATTGGCTTACATACTTCTGTGTAATCAGGTTACATGTTCATCTGCAGGGAAGGATGGTTTGAGAAATGTTGCTTTCCATAACTTCACATTTCAAAGCAGCTGATAGACACTGCAGGAATTCCTTTTTAAATGGGTCTCCTGGGTGAGGTTTCAGTATTTGAATATTAAGATCATTAGGAGCACAACGTGTACAATTTTGTGAATTTCATTAACTATGAGAATGGCCCTGTTTGAATTCCATAGGCCCTGCTCATCAAAGAACTTCTGGAACCAGGAAATAAAAAAGATTGAGGGGGACTATGTACTTTTTTTTAAAAAGTATTTATTGATGAGAGAGAGAGAGAGAGAGAGAGAGAGAGAGAGAGAGAGAGAACATCGATTTGTTGTTCCACTTATTTATGCACTCATTGGTTGTTTCTTGTATGTGCCCTGACCAGGGATCGAACCTTCAACCTTGGTGTATCAGAATGACCCTCTAACCAACTGAGCTGCCAGGCCAGGGCCATGGACTATGTTCTTTTGAATCCAAAATACAAAGGACAAGGCCATGGAACTTCTCCTAAAATCAGTCAATCAAAAAAGGTGTTCGGATCCAATTTTGCCTGCTTACGGTGGTCAGACTTTGCCATCAAAGATTTTACGAAGCAACTTCATAGAGGTTTTTCTAAGCCTCTGCAGCGCCGCTGTTTTCCCTCCGCCGCCTCCCGGAGCTGCTTCATGCCACCCTGATGCTTTTACAGGCGAGCTGTCTACTGCAAGCTGTCTACACAAGCCCAAGCATATTTCAGATCTGTCTTGAAGCTTCTGTGTACTTCAGCTGTTTCTAATGCAAAAGTTCTCAGCTTTCCCCCCCGTGATGAGGACTGTGTCAGAATGAGATGACTTTAGGGGTGATTTCAATGGTCACATCTTTTAAAATGTAAATTATGTGATGAGTTGCACCCTGGTCTGAACGGACCAGTGTGCCTTTACAGGTGGATTCATTAAATCAGTAACATCCTGGCTGTGACATGGCTGATGGCTCTGCCTGTAGTGTGTGTGCAGGGCTGAGGGCGGGAGGGCGCCTGGACACAGCACTCACTCTGCTCCCCGAGCCCTGTGGCCACATGAAACCTCCTCCTTCCAGAGAAAAAGATGCGTTTTCCTAGGTCTTCAAAAGCATGTCATAGGCCAGCAGAGTTCTATTGAAGGCCCGTTTTCTCCCTTGAGTGATATAATGACTTTCATGATTAGTTTACAGATGCCTGTAGCTCCCAAATATTCCATTTCCATTCACCCTTGGGAATGAATAAATTAGGAATTCCTTTGAGACTATTCCAACGTACTACGAAATGCCATTAAAATGCTATTTAAACTTTGTTGTAATATTAATGTTGGAATACCTTTTCAGTACTGTTAAATCACAAGAATGTTTATAACGACCTATTTTCTTCCCCACAGCGTATTATTAAAAGTATCACTCCAGAAACACCAACAGAAATTCCCTGTGGGGACATCCGCCTGAATGCCGTGTAAAACGCTTCAACGAGAGGAGGGCGAGTGGCTTCCCCACCACCTCTTCCTCCAGCTCTGACGAGTTGCGCCGTCTTCTCCCTCCAAGTGAATGAGTTTCCAGCTAAGCCTGACAATGGAAGGGCCTTCTTCAGAGAGACACAGTCTCCAAAGACTATGGTGCCCAGACTCTCATGGCCTCCAGCTACTTCTTCCTGTGACATCTCCTGGACATGTGACCATGTTAGACTCTGTGAGGCAGCCGAACTGGACGATTTTGGATGCGTGAGGGTGTGTATGGAGGTGATGAAAACCACCATGTAATCAGTTAGGACTAGGTTTAGAATCAAGTCTGTGAACGTCTACTGTATCACTTCTCGTTATGATCCTTGGTGTCTGACATCTGTTTGCTTCTGAAGTCCTCATTGTTCATGGATGCATACGCCATTTACTGCTAGGCATTTATTTTCTGAGTAGCATAGACTTTCATAGCTGGATCTACTAGACCCCTGTAACCCATGTGCTGCTGTGGAGTCAGGAGAGGAAAATATAAGAAACTAAACTGAAAAATAATGTGAGCGTGTGTGTCTGTGTACTGTTGTTTCAGCGTACCCTTATCTTTATTCCAATACTTTGGGCCCGTTCCGAATGATTTGCATTTCCGCTAATTTTTCTTATATCAACCAATTCTACCTACTCAGATGTGTATGAATGTTATTATTTGAAGCATATAATTACCACGGCATGTTCTGCCACCTTTTCCTTTTCCAGGGACACTACTTGAGCCCATAAACCTTTCTTTATGGGCCAACCTTTAGCATTTGCTGAACTTTGTCATATTCCTGTCTCTCTCCGCTAAACATTTGGTCAGCAAAGACTATGCTACAACCTGTCATCCCACAAGTAACATAATAAAAGCAAAACAGCCGTATGCTAAGTGAGAAGTTATATACTTTAAAGTCACCATGGAAATCATACATTATTTAAAATGCAGGGAGAGGTACAAAAAAAGACTAAATTAGGAAGGTGAGCCTAGATAGTACTTGCTTGAGAAGCATGCTAGAGAATGAAATTATAACTCCAATACGACAAAGGAAATGTTGAAACCAGGAATATCCCTATACTGTAGAAAGCTTTTCTGGTCTACTTTAAACAGCCTGAATTTTTTCTTCAATATCAGAGTTAAGTCATTGATTTTTTATTAAAATCTGTTGAATTTAGTTCCATGGAAGGATTATTTCAAAGCCCTAAACTTTTTTCTTACTTTCTGTAGTATTGCTCTTTTCCCTCATTACTTAACTGCCTCTAAATTTTAATGAGAGAACAATACTTGAAAGTTCAGATAACTACATTAGAGGCAGAAACAAACCTGATGACAAAGCTAATTTCTTTGTTCTTCTTAGCACCTGGAAACTTCTAAAAAAAAAAAAAAGGCGAACTTGTTTTATTTCCTCTATTAAAATAAAATAACACCCCTCTCAATTGGTTTAGTAGGCATTTCCCACAATAAACAAAATAAATATTTTAGGATGGATATTAAATATGTCTGTCCTTTTGTTTCATATAGTTGCAATCTAGTCAGTATTGTTTCTACATTAGGTGTTTCAAACAATTAACCTTTTCAAGAGAAGTCTTTTTCGGAAAATGACACAACATTGGAATTTTAGGTGGTATTCCTCTTATCAACACATCACAAAACCCATGTCAAACTGTTGCTGTACCACAAATGCAAGTTTTTGTCTGTTTCTTAAGTTACCAAAATAGATGTTCACTGGCCAGCTAATTTGGAAACAGTGTGTATTGGTGGAGCATTTCATCAGAAAAAATGGCTGCTGAAGAACCACCTTCTCATTTAGGGAAGAGAATAGATATCAGTCCTTCAATTCTACAATTGAAGATTCCAAATATAGTAGCTTATTTCTAGCAATTTTTAAACACAGTCCAAACCACAAATATTTGAGGAGGAGGAGGTATCACATCTTTATGCTAAAACACCTAAATTTCCACAGAGCATTTGCTAATTTAAAAGAAAAAAAAGGTATTTTGAAAGATTATTCTTATTCAAACTCTATTATTAAAGGTGTACCTTAAGAAAACTTGATATATGAAAAATGTATATTTTAAAAGATAAAATTAGGGAGTTTAAAGAATTTGCAGTTATTTCTCCAATGGCATTTAATATGATTTGATTTACAAACAATTTTTCAGGATACTTTGTGTTGGGTGTACCAATGAGGTGCTTCAAATTCTAGATTATGGTTAATTGAATTATATAAATGGCATTTCTTTCCCCTCATTTTTACCTTCTTCTTCCACAATACTTACAAATTAGAATAAGGAAGTTTCTTCCACTCTTCACCTCTGTCAAAAGTGGTAAAATGGTTCCAGCCTGTTTGGCTCAGTGGATAGAGCGTTGCCTCAGGACTGAAGGTTCATGGCATTCCATTCCTGACTGGGGGCACGTAACTGGGTTTCAGGCTCAATCCATGGCCGGTCAGAGCGCATGAGGGAGGCAACCATCTGTGTGTCTCTCTCACATCAATGTTTCTCTCTCTCTCTCTCTCCCCCCCCTCCCTCCCTTCCACTTTCTCTAAAAATCAATGGAAAAATATCCTTGGTGAGGATTAACAACAACAACAAAAATAGTGGTAATATGTTACCAGAAAATAACCAATGTTATTTTTTACATGAAACATTTTATTTTTAAACTTTAGCAGAATTAAAGATGAGTTTTATTTGTATGAAAGTAGAGTCCCCTCTTTAAGATACACATGAATGATTTAAGTTGTGGACTGTTACTGCAATAACTATTAATGTCATGATAGATTTGTTCGGTCTCATTAAAAAAAACCTTCCAAACTCTTAAGTTTAAAATAGAAATCTTAATTTTAACTGTATATTGTCAAAACATTTACATATCCCCCAAAATATCGCTGCATGCCATTTGCAAATATTTAGCATCAAAACTACCTAGAATTAGAGACATTAAATTTCAGCAAAAGCTAAATAATTATAAGTCTTTGCAATTTGTGCAGAGCTTTAACTTTAGTGTGCTTTCACATATCTCATTTGATTATCAGAGCTCTGGGTGACAAATGTTATTCCCCCAACTTTGCAGATGAGGAGCCTGAGGCTCAAAGGATTAACTTTCTTCCCTCCTGGAGTAAGATATATCAGAGGGGGTGATTTGGCCAAATTCACACAGCTGGCAAACTCTAGAACAGGTCTTATGCCTAGATTTTCTGATTGCTGGCCAAAGATTATTTGCATGTCTATCTTTAAAATCATCATCTATAAAAGCCTAAACACACAGATATTAAACTCAAAAGAGATAATCATAAGGGATATGTTCTCAGCAGACAAGGGCATGCATTTTCCTACGTAATCCTATATAATAAAAGGGTAATATGCAAATTGACTGAATGGCGGAACGACCGACCGCTATAATGCGCACTGACCACCAGGGGGCAGATGCTCAATGCAGGAGCTACCTCCTGGTGGTCAGTGCGCTCCCACAGGGGGAGCACCGCTCTGAGGGCTGGTGAGCACAGTGGTGGTGGCGGGAGCCTCTCCTGCCTCCATGGAAGCGCTAAGGATGTCCAACTGCAGCTTAGGCCCACTCCCCACAGGCCTAAGCCGTCAGTCGGACATCCTCCCAGGTCTCCCGGACTGCTAAAGCGCGCAGGCCGGGCTGAAGGTTTTCCCCCACCCCCCCCCCCCCCCCCGCAGCGTGCATGAATGTTATGCACTGGGCCTCTAGTTACAACATAACCATCAAAATCAGGAAAATAACTTTGATGCATTACTGCCATCTAATCTCAGATCCCATTCCACACTGTCCTTTTAGCAAAAGGATCCACTCCAAAATCATACTTTTCATGTAGTTTGTCTCTCTTGTTTCCTTCAGTCTGGAAGTTTCCTAGTCTTTCCTTGACTTTCTGAACTTGACACTTTAGAAAACTACAGGCCACTTATTTTGTTGAATGCCCCTCAATATGATTTGATAATTGATTATTCATGATTAGTTTCAGGCTGTGATTTGGCAGAAATATCGGGGAAGAGGGTGATTTATTCCCATACTGGTAATGTTAACTTCAATTACTTAAGATAGTGTCTGCCAGGCTTTCCATTGTATTCTTTTCTTTCTGTAATTAATTCGTATTTTGAAGGGATTGCTCTGAAACTGTGCAAATATCCTGTTTCTCATCTAACTTTCAAAACATTAATTTTTTTACAGGTTCTTATTCAGTGGATTATAATCCATTGTTATTATAATTTATTTCAATGCTCAAATTGTCCCATATTTAGCCAGTGAGAGTCCTTTCAAGCTGGCTTTTGTCCTTTTGACATGTCACCCTAATTCTTGGAAAACTTTCTTCCCTTCTGGAGTAAGATATTTCAGTATCATCTTATACTTTCTCTGCAACAGTCACTTCTCCAAGAGGCTCTGATTCCTTTTAGTGAAGAATGTTTTTAGAAATCAAGATCTAGGTCAGTGGTGGCGAACCTATGACACGCGTGTCAGAGGTGACACGTGAACTCATTTTTTTGGTTGATTTTTCTTTGTTAAGTGGCATTTAAATATATAAAATAAATATCAAAAATATAAATCTTTGTTTTACTATGGTTGCAAATATCAAAAAATTTCTATATGTGACACGGCACCAGAGTTAAGTTAGGGTTTTTCAAAATGCTGACATGCCGAGCTCAAAAGGTTCGCCATCACTGATCTAGGTGGTAGCTTATGCTCATTGCTATTGGGGTGTCTGATACCAAATCCTCTCACTGGACAGAACTCAAGTGTGTGTGTGTACTAGCACATACACACATTTGCATCTATAATTATTTCTCTATCATGAAAACAATGAATTCACACCATTATCTCCAATTCTAACACCAAACTATAAAGCTCATTCTAGTTTGTTTTCTCTGGAATCCATGAAAAACATATCCTTGGGTGAGGATTAAAAGCAACAAAACCCCCCAGCATCCCATCCATCAGAATGGCTAAAATTAAAAGACAAGATGACAAAAGATAAACAATTAACAGGTATAAGCAAGAATGTGGAGCAACTGCAACTCTCATACATTTTGAGTATATTTTGGTACTATTTCTCACGGTATACCCTATGGATTAGCAATTCCATTCCTAGGTATTACCCAATCAAAACATACATATGTACACACTAGAAGACAAGTACAATAATGTTCCTAAAAGCATTATTCATAATAACCCTAAACAGAAAATAAACTCCATGTCCATCAATAGATGGATAAATACTATACTATCTAGAAAACAAAATCTGTGGTGTTAAAAGTCAAGGGCGGAGGCATAGTCTGGGAAGGGGTTTGAGGTTTCTTCTGTGTAAATCCATTAAACTATATATTCATGACACATGCACTTTCTTTATGCATGCTATGCTAATTTTTTTAAATCCTCACCCAAGGATATTTTTCCCATTGCTTTCAAGAGGGTAGAAGGAAGAAAGGGATGGGGCAGGGGGAGAAACATGGATGTGAGAGACATCCATCAGTTGCCTCCTACACAAGCCCCAACTGAGGCCAGGAATCTAGGTGCATGGGCCGATGCTCTAACTGCTGAACCACAGCTACCAGGGCTATACTACAATTTTTAAAAGATTAACAATGTTCTGTAACTTGGCATAGACTTATCATATGTGGAATCTTACTCTGAGATAGAGCTTTTGGCTATAGTAGCAGGAATCCAATTCAAACTGGCCCAAGAGAAAAAGGAGAAGTATTGGTTTAAGTATCTAAAAAAATATATATGCCCCACTAGAACTCGAGTCAAAAAGTTTGCCCACCCCTGCTCTAACTGCTGAACCACACCTACCAGGGCTATACTACAATTTTTAAAAGATTAAGAATGTTCTGTAACTTGGCATAGACTTATCATATGTGGAATCTTACTGAGATAGAGCTTTTGGCTATAGTAGCAGGAATCCAATTCAAACTGGCCCAAGAGAAAAAGGAGAAGTATTGGTTTAAGTATCTAAAAAAATATATATGCCCCACTAGAACCAGGCAATCAGTAGGTCTTTCTCTTTCTCTTATTTCTGCTTTCTTTGGTTGGCTCTATTCTGTCAGGCAGCCAGACTCTCATTCTTTGCAACTCTGGACTTACCTCATCTTCACTATCAGCAATGCTAGTGGAAAACATCTTTTTAAGTTCTGTCAAATCTCAGAATTGGCCTAGCTTGAGTCACATACTTGGAGCCTATTCAGCCCCATTTGATCACTAGACTAAGAGTAGTTAAGGGTACTTTCCCAAGGAAAAATCACGGCACTGTTCCCAGAAAAGGTGTGAATGAATGCGAAAGGCAAAAACATCCATATATCTGGGGAAGGAGAAGAAACCCTTAATTTGTTGCTTCTCCCTGAATTATGCCTAACTTAGTTAATAAAAATAATACTATTGGTCTGGCCAGAGTGGTTGCACATCAACCTATGGACCGGGAAGTCACAGTTCCATCCCCAGTGAGGGCATGTACCTGGGTTATGGACTCAATTCCCAGTGTGGGGCATGCAGGAGGCAGCTGACCAATGAGTCTCTCTTATCATTGATGTTTCTATTTCTCTCTCCTCCCTTTCTTTCTGAAATCAGTAACAATATGTTTAAAAACAAAACAAAACAGTGAAATAGTTGGCCCTCGAACACAGGGGTGAGGGGGGTTAAGGGCATCAATCTCTTGTACAGTCGAAATCCGTTTTAACGCCTGTAAAATTTAACTACTGGTAACCAACCGGAAGCCTTACCAATAACATAAATGGACAATTCACATATTTTGTATGTTATGTGCATTATATACTGTATTCTTACAATAAAGTAAGCTAGGGAAAGAAAATCATAAAGAGAAAATACATTTACAGCACTTATTGAAAAAATCTGTATATAATCAGACTCACACAATTCAAACCTGTGTTGTCCAAGGGTCAACTCTAGTATAGCTTTTGCCAGCTAAACCATCCAAGCTACTTTATGAGTCTTGGAACTACTTACTGTGAAAGGGAAATCGACAGCTTTTTACCAGATCCCTCAGACTAGTCTCTCCCTCCTACACTTATCTTGTATATTATGGTTAAATTAATCTTTCCAACATATGGCTCTAGTTTTAACAACCCTAACAAAGGAACCACATTCTCTTTCAAAGTTGAAGATTTTTAACCTGCTACTCATGGTCTTCAATGATCTCGCCCAAACTTTTTAATAGTTATATTATACTACAACCCTCTGTGCATGCTGAGTTAATCCTCACCCAAGGATATTTTTCCATTGATTTTTAGAGAGTGGAAGGCAGAGGGAGGGAGAAAAACATCTCTGTGAGAAACATTGATCAGTTGCCTCCCTTAGCACTGTGACTGGGAATCAAACCTGCAACCTTTTGGTGTATGGGAGAACGTTCCAACCAACAGAGCCACCTAGCCAGGGCAAATAGCACTTTCTTAATGGGAAGAATTGTTAGAAAACTATTTTCTCCATACCGTTCATCCTTTTCCCATGAATAAATTATTTATAGTATTTTTTAAAATATATTTTATTGACTTTTTACAGAGAGGAAGAGAGAGAGATAGAGAGTTAGAAACATCGATGAGAAACATCGATCAGCTGCCTCTTGCACACCTCCTACTGGGGATGTGCCCGCAAGCAAGGTACAGGCCCTTGGCCGGAATCGAACCTGGGACCTTTCAATCCGCAGGCCGATGCTCTATCCACTGAGCCAAACCGGTCAGGGCTATATTTCATTTTAAATGGTAAATTTCAAAGACAGCATAGAGATTTCAGTTTTGACACATAAATGGAAGTTGTAATAAGCTGTATATTTAAGAGCATATAAAACAACACATTCATAAATAGACACCTGGATCTTTAGCTAACATCATTTGGACTAAATGTCTCCACCTTTTCACACTTAGCTAAAACTGATTTATATACACAACCAATTTACTCACTTGTGAGGTCACAGAATTCAATGAAAGTAATTTTTAACGGCGGGGGAATGGGGAGCAATTGTGTACAAATGACATTTCTTTTAAAATTAGAGCATGAATTAGAAGTACAAACATATCACCATTTTTATTCTCATTTAAGCCAAATATGCTCGAGCTAACAAGATATATATCTGTCCATATTTTATATTTTAATACAAATTTCAAAACATAAAGTATAACAATATTCTCTATGTTCAAATTCACTTAATTTTATAGAAAACACAATATTTATAAAATAAACAGCTCCTGCAACAAAACCAACATTAGGCGAGTTGTTTAAATTATCTTTTAATGGTTGTAGCAGAGCCAATTTTCCTCATAAAGTATCTACCGGGACGGGACTTAGCACACTCTTTAGGCTGCTTGAATACAACCAAGAATGTGGTATTGATATGTAAATATTATATATTGATTCAGTCAAGCATTTAAGAAAAAAAGACTGACTTTTGACTTAACCCTAAACAAATAATGAATTTTGAAAATGTATTTTACCACTATTAACACTCCTTTATGTGTTCACACAGCATATTCCACCAAGTCAATCATCTTCTTTCTCAATATATGTCTTCGCATTAACCCGTGCCATATGCCTGGCCAAGTACCTGTCTCTAGCTGACATTACAGTTTCCTCATTGTTCCGTTTTGCAAACTTGTTCACAGTCTCGTGTGGGCTCTCTTGTTCTTTGCCCATCTCTTGGCTTTCCTCTGTGGTTCTGTGTTTTGCGCCCAGTGATGTTTCAGAACTAGAGAGTTTCTCTGGGTTACTGTCTTTATCCTTTTCCACGTCTCTCATTTTATTGGCTCTCTCCTGGTCAAGAAACCTATCCTTTGCCCTAGAATTCGGGCTGTTTTCCTTTCTGTCTCGCTTTCTTTCTGAAGATTGAACACTCATTTCTCGTTTTTCTCTATCTCTGTTTTCATATTTTTCTTTCCTTGCTTTCGTATGTTCTTCCCTTTCTTTGCTTTTCTCTTCCTTTTCTACTCCTTTCTCACTGTGTCGGTCATGATCATTTCGATGTCTATCTCTTTCTTGTTCTCTTGTGGGATATTTCTGTCTGTCTTTCTCCCTTTTCCAATCTCTGTCATTTCTTTCTCTTTGGTCTCGTCCCCTCAGTTTATCTTCTTGTTCATGCCTCTTCCAGTGGGAATCTCTATGACTGGCATCTCTGTGCCTATGGGAATCTTTCTTTTCTTTTTGGTAATCACGGTCAGTGTAATAGTTCTCCTGGTTCCTGAATTGTCTCTCTTGGTGCTGATCTTCCCGCTTCTCATGTCCTCTTGACTTGGAACTTTTTGTGTGGCTTTTGGTACCATGTTCTCTTTCTTCGCTAGATGACCGTGAGTGGGTTTGATTCCTGTGATGCCTGGAGTCATTCTTAGTGGTCTCTATGCTCTTTTCCCTTCTGCAGTTCACTTCATTATTTTCTTCCAGTTCATCATCCTCGCTGTTGTTAGCATCAAAGTCACTGTCTGCATCTGGGTTTTCCTCTACTTTCACAGTAGTTTGGAGAATGCATTTCTCAGGTGGTATTCTGTTCTCTGAAGTTACTTCATCAGAATAACCCCTTGGTTTCTCTTCCTTTATCCCAGACCTATAAAAAAATAATATAACACTAAGTGCCACATTATGATTTATAGTAAGCAAATGAAGTGTTCACATTTTTCTCAATATTTAAATCAATAAAACTATAATTATATATGCATGTTGATTATCCAAATGTAAAAAGATGCTGATGTCTATTTACCTTGTAAGCACCTGCAAATTAGCATTTTCTAACAATTTAGAATATTTTCAATATTGGTAGAAGTGAAAAAGAAATAAGGCCTTTTGTATTGGATCACTAGAGCCTTTAGTCAGGGATCTGTACAAGGCCTTCATTTATCCTAAGCATAGACAAAGAATAATTGGGAAAAGAAAGATATATTCTGGATCTTAGTATTTTCACAGTATGAAGTTTAAGTTGTGGCTCTTTGTTGGATTTTTATTTTTATTTCTATAAAAATTAAGAAGAGCCCTGCAAGCAGATGAAGATAAAAATTTTTCACAGCAAAATGGTGGCAAAATCTAATTCAAAATATCACTAAATAAACCCTCTTATGATTAAAGAGGCACCAGCATCTTGAAATACTCCTTGGCACCCATCGCCACAAAATGAAAATATGTGAATCCATCCAACCATTACAAACAGCAACACTAAAATTGTTTATATCATCTGAATTTTCCCTGTTGATAAGCATGGTTAATTAACCAACACATTCATTCTTATCACTTACTAATCATACTAATAGAGCAACAACTATGGTTCTCTAGGAGTTGCTAGTACAACTGTCTTGGCTAAAGTATTCACCACTAATTAGGAATTCTATTAGACTCTGAGAAGTATAACTATTAAGTGACATTATGGAGTTTCATGGCTGGCCTCACAATTATTTCAGATGAAACTCTAATAATAGGAACACTAAATCTCAATCTTCAAATACACCTTCTTAGACTCATAAGTCTCATCAATTTTTAAATCAAAACCTGGCAGTTGGGGGGTGAGAAGTATAAACCTAATTCCCTCTCTTAATCCTTAATTCCATTCTCCTGCCTCTCTCCTTTCCCCAGCAACGTAAGACTCAGATCCTCTTATCTGAATGTTTCTGTTCCCAAAAAGTTTATTTAAATACAAGTTTAGGACTAATTCTCCCTTTTACCTTCAGCTATATACTTATGATATAAACATTTTAGCATTCCTATTTAATCCTATATAAGGCTAATATGCAAATTGTCCCCTTGGGAGTTCGACTGACCGGGAGTTTGACCGCTTGCTATGATGTGTGCTGACCACCAGGGGGCGGCGCAAAATGAAGGAAGGCCCCAGTTGGCAGCCAGCAGCCAGGGGAAGGAAGGCCCCTGATCGCCGGCCAGGCCTAGGGACCCTACCCGGGCACAATTTCATGCACCGGGCCTCTAGTACTTTATAATATTAAAAAAAATCCTCTAACTCTTATTTTCTAGAGCAGTACTAATAGAAATGTCTACATAAGTGGTAATGTCCATATCTGTACTAATATGGCAGCCACTAGTCAAATGTGGCAACTGAGTACTTGAATATGGCTGTTGTGGCCAAAGTTTTAAATGTAGTATTAAACAACCACACATGACTAGTGGCTACGTACTGGATAGTGTATTTCTAGCCATTAAGATGTGAATTTTACATTTTATGGAGGCTAGGTCCTATTTATAAAAGTAAACCACATCTCTTTTTATATTCTACCTAAACATGTAAGTAGAGTTATTGCAGAATCAACACAATGTTGAACTAAATACCTTTTAAATTAAGAAACTGTAAAATGTTTTAAATTAAGAAACTGTAAAATCCTAGCCATTCGTTTAATTAGATCAGGTTTGGCTGACAAAACAATATGCAGCCCAGCCAGCATGGTTCAGTGGTTGAGCATCGACCTATGAACCAGGAGGCCATGGTTCGATTCCTGGTTGGGGCACATGCCCCGACTTCGGACTCAATGCTCAGTAGGGGGTGTACAGGAGGCAGCCAATCAATGATTTTCTCTCAGCACTGATGTTTCTCTTCCTCTCCCTTCCTCTCTGAATCAATAAAAATATATTTAAAAAAAGAACAACAAAAAACAATATGCAATGCTGCAATTCTTACCTTGCAGTGGTTCTCAACCTGTGGGTCGCGACCATTGGAAAACACATATAGCATATCAGATATTTACAGTACGATTCATAACAGTAGCAAAATTACAGTTATGAAGTAGCAACGAAAATAATTTTATAGTTGGGGATCACCACAACATGAGGAACTGTATTAAAGGGTCGCAGCATTAGGAAGGTTGAGAACCACTGTTTCAGAGGGTTAAAATGATCCAACCACAGATCATGAACAGTATCTTTCTTTTAAATATTCCGTATGCCATGTCTCACCTAGCTTCACGAAAGCTGCATGTAGGGACTTCCTCTTCACCAACTGCTTGATTTAATAGATGCCTATAAAATCCACTGAGATCTTTCTGCTTGGTTACATCCAAACGTGCTAAGAGAGGGAAAGCAAAAGTGAGAATATAGGCAACAAGGCAAAAATGCAACTCAGTTTTATGGACATACAGTACATAACATACACTGTGTGTAAACTATTCTCTAGATCAAGAGTTGGGAAATTAGCCCAGCCAGTTTGGGTCCATGGTTGAGCATCAACCTATAATCAGGGGGTCACGGTTCAATTCCTGATCAGAGCACATGCCCGGGTTTTGGGATTGATCCCCAGTAAGGGGTGTGCAGGACATAGCCTATCAATGATTCTCTCTCATCACTGATGTTTCTCTCTTTCCCTCTCCCTTCCTCTCTGAAATCAATAAAAATATATTAAAAAAAAAAAGTTGGGAAACTATAGCCTACAGGCCAAAGCTGCCTACCTTTGTAAATGCATTTTTGTTGAAATGTAGCCCTGTTCATTTGTTTATGTATTGTCTAGGGCTGCTTTTGTGTTACAAAGGCAGAATTGAGTAGTTGGTACACAAAGTCTAAAACGTTCATAATCTGGTGCTTTACGGAAAGTTTGCTGACTGTTGCTCTAGAATTCAGCGGTTCTCAACCTGTGGGTCGCGACCATCGGAAAACACATATAGCATATCAGATATTTACATTACGATTCATAACAGTAGCAAAATTACAGTTATGAAGTAGCAACGAAAATAATTTTATGGTTGGGGGTCACCACAACATGAGGAACTGTATTAAAGGGTCGCGGCATTAGGAAGGCTGAGAACCACTGCAGTCTAGATGAACACACAGTACATGCTCAGACCAAGTCTTAGAGATTTGGTTTTCTTCCACTTAAGTTGATGAGCATTTGCCAAATAAGCTATTTATAAGTACATATTTCACTCAAATCTTGAGAAATGACCATGAGTAGAAAACACTGAAGTAAAGCACTATGACTTTGTTTGGCCTTTGCACATCTTTGTTTTTTCTTGAATTGATGTTATTCTTTTTCTAAATGCCCAGCTGATGCTCCTTGGGTGATGTTACTCTAGTTTTCTCATCCCAGAAAATATAACTAGGATTTGAAACTCAGTTTACACTGCTCCTGTAAGTGTCGTGGTATTATACCTTGTAATCAATGTTTTTACATTTGGAATCATTTCCCAAAGCAATGACTTGTAATGACCATAGTTTTAAACAAAATAGATATAAGTGAAAAGTCTAGTAGAAGTACTAGTTATTAAGAATACAACTATGTTTAGTAGAAATCTCCTGTTTTATGATAATACAACATATCATAACTTGTACCTTCAATTCCTATACATAAATTATGACCACAACATTATAATCAAAAAGTTCAGTGACAGAACAAATGGCTAACCACAGGGCAGAATTCTGTGCTTATTTCCTTCTACCCTCGCCCTCTTCCATTTCACCTTCGAGTGCAGCAGCCCTCTTCTCTCTTTCCTCCTCTTCAGCTCTCTCTTGCAGTTTTTTCTTATAAGCAGATGTCACAAATGCCTCTTTATCATCAAATTCTCCCTTTTCCATTTCTCGTTCTCTCTGTATTTTCTTTTCCATTCTTTTTTCCTGTTCCTTTTTTCTGATCTCAACTGCTTTTAGTAAGTTATGAATATATTTGGGCTAGGGGGGAAAAAAGATTATTTAGGAAAAAGTCAAAGATAATTGTCAATACTCTATTTTTTATCATGAATTCATTAAAAAAATGAATAGTTCAAATAAACAGGCTTATCATCATTGCAAAAATCAATATAAATTTATTAGCAAGATTGAAATGAAAATTCTTTCCAATAAAAAATATTCACAGTGCTATTTTACCATTATTTTTAAAAAACTAAAACAAAGTAAATAATTTTTCCACCAGTTTCTGTCACCATTTTTACTGGTATTGTTTTAACATTTCTTCAACAGATACATGAACCAGAAAGGTGCCTACTAGCTTTTCACATTAGTTGTAATACGATTAAAATAGTAGCTTTAACATAATTTTACACCACTACTTTATTTGTAGATACTGTAAGATGCAAAGATCCTTAAAAATCAGTCTGTGCTTATGAAAGAATAAGATAGAAAATATGAACTTATTTTAATCCCTTTACCTTTTTTTTTCAAAATAAAAATCTGATCATGATATGTGTAGATGATTCAGTTATGAGGTAAGAAGCAATAAAAAATAAGAGGATGATAAAATACAAGTAAACATGAACAAAAGCAGAAAACTTTCTAAGAAAAAATATTTCAAAAAATTATTTGCAAAGGTTTAAAAAAGCAAAAATGAAAATTTATAAAATGTTAAATATTTCACTTGTTCCTGTTGAATAAATGTAGGGCTTCTGGGTCCTAAATCAAATCTATAATATCTGAAGTAGGGGCACTTCACACTTCAAATGCCTAAAAGCTTTTTCTCAGATCATCTTCATGCTGAAACAAGATTAAGATATACAATGCAGGTCAAGGTCAAAGAAAGTTTGTATTTTCAGCTACAAACCTTTCGGTCTTTTCCCAAAAGCAATTTAGGATTATTTTCTTCCTTTTTTTTCTGCATTTCATCATAAATACTATCATATTCATATACAGTGGAATCTTCTGCAAGGGCCTTTTGGATTTCCAGTTTGGTCTTTAAAAGAAAAAATTAAACATTTTTCAAAAATATGAACTAGCTAGCTAACAGCACAAAAAAATGGAAGTAATTTTCTTGAGACAGAATCAGAAATCTATCAAAAATTTCTATCAACCACATTTTAAGACAAAATATATGAACATCAATTTTGGAGCCTAGCTGCCTGAATTAGAAGCTTGGCTCTATACTTACTGAGCTGTGTTTTTTCCTTTAAAATTTCTAAAACCCGGAAATCAATATAAATCAACAAACAACTATATATATGTAAAAGCCTAAGTGATCGAACAACTGGTCAACCAGTGGCTATGATGTGCACTGACCACCAGGGGGCAAACGCTCAACACAAAAGCTGCTCCCTGGTGGTCAGTGCGATCCCACAGCCAACCTGCCGCGCCCCCTGCCCCCCCCCCGCCCCTGGGCTAACCTGCCAGGCTGAGGGACCCCACCCATGCATGAATTTGTGCACCAGGCCTCTAGTCCTAACATATTTTCACAAACAGCCTGGCCAGCGTAGGCTGTTTTTTAACATTTACCTATGAACCAGGAGATCATGCTTCAATCCCTGGTCAGGGCACATGCCTGAGTTGCGGGCTTGATCCTCAGTCTGGGGCGTGCAGGAGGCAGCCGATAGCCAATTGATGATTCTCTCTCATCACTGATGTTTCTATCTCCCTCCCTCTCTGAAATCAATAAAAAAAGTATGAAAAAAAACAAGGGTCAAATTAAATTCTTAAAATTTTTTTTATTGCTTTCAGAGAGGAAGGGAGAGGGAGATAGAAACATCAATGATGAGAGAGAATCATTAATCAACTGCCTCCTGCATGCCCCTACTGGGGACTGAGCCCACAACCGGGCATGTGCCCTTGACCAGAATCAAACCTGGGACACTTCAGTCCACAGGCCTACACTCTATTCACTGAGGCAAGCCAACTAGGGCTAAATTATTTCTTTATACATACCTATTCTGTTTTGTCTCAGCACCTAGATACCAAAACTGGTACTTAAAAATGTGAGCTGAAATACCTACTTCACCAATTACATTTAAGTCACTCTTTGACCTTACCTGTTTCATTGCTTGCTTTTTAGCAGCTTCCCTCTGAAGGCTTTCACTCACGGAGGTCTAGAACACAGAAAAATGCTGTCATTATTTAATACTTCTTTTCCAAAATTCTGGTTGGCAACTGGTTCCTTACTTATCTTTAAAAATACAAAGGTAATATTATGAATTGACATTATCAAGGCTTTTCTCCCACACTTTTGGAAACAAATGAATTTTCATTGTTACTTATCAGATTAGGCTATATGGGGTACAAAACAGAATAGAACAGGACAAATGAGGTAACGGATTTTTTAGTCTCAACTTCAACTTTACTACGAAGTCAGTCAACTTCTATGGATTTCAATTTGCTTTGTGTGTTCATGTGAATGTGTGTGCGCGTGTGTATTAGGTGGGGGTGGAATAGTCCCTTCCAACACTAAATTGGTATCATCCCCAGCAATAAAAAGCACATTATTTTAATATTCACCATTAAATATAGTATATCAAGCTTTTAGTATATATTTAAGGCTTATGGGCAGCCAAAACTATCTGAGATTATAATCATTCGATAAATATGTACTGAAACGCCTACCATATCTGGCATTGTTCTAGCTCCTGAAGATATCAGAAAAACAAGAACAGTCTTTGTCCTGAGAGATAAATGGTCTGAAAGGGAAGACAAATAACTAAAGAAATCATTATAATATAAACGTGATAAGCAACACAATAAAAGGATAAAAAAGGGAAACAAAATGTATGAGAAATGAAGAAAGCCTTCCCTAAAGAGATATGACATTAGACCTGAATCAAAGAATTTAAGAGAAGGAAATAGTAACCACATGGACAAAAGTAAGGTCTTACAGCTAAGAAAAGAAATATAATTAGCATACGTAAGTAAAAATGTTTCCTTAAAAGTATAAGGCTTTGTAAACATACTAACCAACACCAAAATGTACACTTTAACAGGGTAAATGTTGTGGTGTGTAAATTCTCTTTAAAAAATAGTAATACTAGTAAATTTATTTTTAATTAAAAATATAAGCCTCAGCTCTAGGACTATAGGACTGTTTTCAACTGGATAGTATCAATTGGTGTTTCCTGTTTTCAACGGCAACAAAGATAACAAAATAAACAAATCTAATTCTAGTTCCCTAAAACCATGGAGATAAAGTTAATACACAAAGGCTATACAAGTAACAGAATACTTATTAAAAGAAGTGTATAGGCAGCCGGGCCGAGTGGCCCAGTTGGTTGAGTGTCATCCTGTGCACTGAAAGGTTGCCAGTTCCATTCCTGGTCAGGGCATGTAGAGAAGGCAACTGATGGATTTTTTTTTTCTCTCTCCCTACCTTTCTTGGATTTAAAAAAAAGTGTTTAAGCAAAGAACTAAAGACATTTTAGATAGTAAATTGACTCCCAACAAGAGGAAGAGAGGTGGGTAACAAAAACAAAATCCAACATTTACAGAGGCAGGTGCTACGCTAAGTGAATTACTTGTGTATTACTGTATTTTTCAATTAATAAAAATTTTAATTATGTGATATAACCCATTTTTCACTAGAGTATCAATTTTAAACATTAAAATATTAAATATGCTAATAAACATCTCATGAAATTCTTCTCAACATATTTTTATGTCTTTCCAATTCGTGTAAATGAAGTATATATATTTTTTGATCACTGAGTTAGTAATATCCTCAGGACTGACTAGAAGAGTAAGTCTCCAAATGCTGGACTTTTACTTCTTCACTTGTTTTTATTATTTGGCCCATCTCTCCTCTTCCAATCTGTCACAGTTCACCTGCTGTCACTTTAAAACTGGTTGCTTCAACCTGAACTTGAAAAAATAAAGCACAAGGCTATTACTTTTTAATTTCATATAGTGTAGAATAAATAGGCAGACTGGGAAGGGCCTCTCCAACATAAAGTATACTTTGAGACATCTCAAGAGGCTATGCTTCCATTTTTATAGTTGTTTAGAATAAGCCTGACCTTTGAAAAAAATCAGATGTTACTTCTTATAGGGTAAGTTCATAATGGAGGGAGTAGAGTAACTTTACATATCCTATTCAGAGACTTATATCCCTGAAGTTGCAATAGCATCAGTGGATAAAGAGGTCACTCTGAACCTAAGCTGAAAAATTCAGGGAGGATTATCTCCTTTTGAAGCTCATTTAATTCTGTTTTCTAACTGAGGGAACTGTGACAATGACTATTAAAGATGACGAAAGCCCAGCCGATGTGGCTCAGTGGTTAAGTGTCAACCTATGAATCAGGAGGTCACAGGGCACATGCTCGGGTTGCAGGTTCGATACCCAGTAGGGGGCATGCAAGAGACAGCCGATCAATGATTCTCTCTCATCATTGATGTTTCTATCTCTCTACTCCCTTCCTCTCTGAGATCAATAAAAAAAAAGAGTACACACACACACACACAAAACAAGGGTGAAATTAAAGACACTGATGTTTTGTATGACAGTTTTCTCTGATGAAAAAAACAAAGCAAAAAGTGGAAGCATAAAAGGAGTATAAAAAGGAGAGTAATTTTTGGATTGCTCATAAAGAAAACAATTCTTTAACAGTCACATATAGTGTAAGACATGGATTAAAGGGAAAAAAATCAGAACATGGTTCTCAATATCCTTCCTATGTTGCATCAGTCAAAAATAGTAGAAAAACATTTCATAAGATTCAGTGAAAACATATTTACTATAATCAATGACCCCTCTTACAATACACTTAGAAACCCAAACTTTATTTCCAAAAACATCATTAACCATGTTGGTAATAACTAGTGCACTTATAATCAACAGTCAAAGGTCTTGTAATCCTCCCCACAGAGGTCAAATTTTAATGAAATACACTTGGTATTTTCTCAAAAGACAAGCAACAGTTTGGCACCTAATATATAATCACAATGACCAAGTCAGGTGTGCAGAGTCCCCAGTACAGACTTTATTAGAGTTCAGTTATAAATATACAATCTCTTGACATTGAAGATGTAGTTCTTGCAGATAAAGCCCAAAGGCAGGAAATGAATCTCCTCCCAAATGCTGCTTCTTATCTTTAAAGTAAACTCAAATTATTACTAAACTAATAAAGTAATTTTGTTTCAGAGAGTGATCTGATCTATTTTATAAATCCAAGAATGAGATGGAGGATTATTGCTTTTTGTCTGACTACACACACTAAAACATGAAAATAAAGAAAGAACTTTTTTTAAATGATTTTTTATGGTAAAGTTAGATTAGGCAATATCAAAGCCTGTCAATATATGAGGAAGATGGATATTGTTTTGGAAAAATAGAAAGCTAATTTTTTAAAAAAATATATTTTATTGATTTTTTTACAGAGAGGAAGGGAGAGAGAGATAGAGAGTTAGAAACATTGATGAGAGAGAAACATCGACCAGCTGCCTCCTGCACATCTCCTACTGGGGATGTGCCCGCAACCCAGGTACATGCCCTTGACCGGAATCGAACCCGGGACCTTTCAGTCCGCAGGCCGACGCTCTATCCACTGAACCAAACCGGTTTCGGCAGAAAGCTAATTTTTAAAAAAATGTATTTTTATTGATTCAGAGAGGGAGAGGGAGAGACAGAAACATCAATGATGAGAGAATCACTGATCAACTGCCTCCTGCACGAACCCCACCGGGGATCGAGCCTGCAACCCAGGCATGTGCCTTGACTGGGAACCAAACTGTGACCTCGAGGTTCATAGGTTGATGCCCAACCACTGAATCACACTGGCCGGGCAAAAGCTAATTTTTTAAACAGCAAATTTTAAGGTAAAGCTTTTATTATCTTCTAATCAGAAATAAGTCAGTTAAAAATGATGAACAACTGGGTGCATTGAGATTGCATACAACTCAAATAAAAAGTATTTCAAAAATATAATTATAGTTGCCCTGGCCAGTGTGCTCAGTGGTTGGAGCATCCTCTCGTACACCAAATGGTGGCAAGTTCGATTCCCAGTCAGGGAATCATACATACTTGGATTGAGGGTTCAATCCCCCATTGGGGCATGTCAGAGGCAACTGATCGATGTTTCTCTCCCTTCCTCTTTCTAAAATCAATAAAATGTGTGTGTGTGTATGTACATATGTGTATATGTGTGTATATATATAATTATGGTCATTACTGCCTTCTTTATGGAATTTTTAAAAAAAGAAAATGAAGTTTATTTATAGAAATTGTTTCTAATGCAAGGGCTAAAACAGGCACTTCTAATGTAAAGTATATGGTAAAAAAAAAAAAAAAAAAGTTGATCATTTCTTTCAGTATTTGTGCTTTGTTACAATCTCATTCTTAGTCCCTTTCTCAACCCAAACCTGCTCTACTCACATTCCTTCCCAACATAATAAGTGGCAATTCTTCATGGAATTTTTCTAATACAATGGCCACAACACAAAATGGAGATTAAGATTCTATTTAAAAAAATCAAAAAAAGCCAGGCTACCAATTATGAGTGTCAAACACAAAGTGGGATGGAGACAGCACATGAAACTTTCAGATGACTAATGATGAGTTATTGCATACAGAGAGGATACTTTTATTGTAGCAACATAGCTACCATTTATTACACTTCTACTCTGTGCTATGTACTGTAGGATATACTGCCTCTAGTCCTTAAAATAAACTTTTATTAGATATTATAAAATACTTTTTAAGATATAGAACTGAAACTGAGATGTTAAACAACTCACTAAAGATCTTAAAGGTAGGAAAGCAATGCAAAGCTTCTGGCTTAAGCTGGCAAATTAATATGCTGAAGTCTCCTCCTCCTCCAAACCCTCAAAATGACAAAAAATAAATCCGTAATCATGCCAGAAAATAAGAAGGGCTATTTTGAATGGACTGGAACTTGAGGGAGATAAAAGGCAAGAAACTAAAATGCCCACTGAGGATGAATGTTATAAAAAGGTGGGAAAGGTTCCCAGAGCACTGCATGTACTGAATTAAGTGATACAAAGAGCAGAAGACAGAGAAGACAGATGAATTGGTTTGTGCAGCAATGCAAGTGGGTCTTTATATACTGCCTTCCTGAGAAAAGATTTATAGCAGATTTCATTTCTGCTC